AGAGGGTTGCCCTGCTGTCCGGGTGCTCACTTGGATAAAATTTATCTCTGCTGATAACCCTCCTTCTGGGAAAGACCCCCAACGTGGATTCTTCTCCGAAGTCGTTCTCTCGAGCTGCAGGGCCTTGATTACCTTCAGCTCAGAATAATCTTCACGCTCACAAGGTCCATCTTGGAGGCGGCCTGCCCTTGGCCCCTGCATTCTTCGGAAATTTTAAGAGCCACCTACCCAAAATGAGATAATCGATCCATGTCCTCTGGGAAGGAGTTTTTTAGCGCGGGTGGCCGTCTGGGACCTCAGCCCTGCCCTACTTTAACAGTTCTAGTAATGCCCCAGGGGGAGCTGTGGACAGCAGGCATATCAGGCTCTCTGAGGACCATGGGCAGGAGGAGAGAAGCAGTAGTTGGGTATAGTTGACAATGGCTTCAGAATTCAGAAGAGTTAGTAGGTTGGAGCAGTGGCTAAATCTAACAGGATGTTTTAGAGGGGTAATTTAAGATTCTCTGTTTGATGCAAATTAACAACTGAGCAAGCACAGGCTAGGATTGAACTGAAATCACAGATTGTTGTAAACCGAAAAGCATTTAAGTCTTAATTATTTACAATAAGGACAAATACATCTGCATATATTGAGGCTGTGATAATACTCTGAGTCTATTAAATGAAGTTCTTTTTCTTCTGATGGTCTGGATAGTTGTGTAAAAACAAGATAGAGGAAGGCATTAACTGTATAGGATTTCACAGAAAGCAAACGGCATGCTTAAGTAAAACGTGCTTGGCATTTGAGGGGCACCTGGGTGGCTCAGTTGGTTAATTCTCTGCCTTTGGCTCAGGTCATGATCCCAGGATCCTGGATTTGAGTCCTGCATTGGGCGTCCCTGCTCAGCGGGGAGTCTGCTTCCCCCCCCTTTCCCTCGGGCCCTCCCCTGTCATGCTCGTGCACATGCGTGCTGTCTCTCAAATGAATAAATTAAAAATCTTTTTTTTTTTTTTTTTAAAGCAAGCTTGCCATCTGAAAAGGTGAACTAGTATAGAAATATCACATACAAGACTTCAGTTCTCAGGGGATCTATCCATCCCTTGAAATTTTTCAATTTAATTTTTATTTGAGTGTCTCTGTTTTTGAAGTGAGAGGGCTACATTGCTGAAGATTTACTGCTTTTCCCCAAGATTTGATTGTGATTTATGTAAACCCAGAGAAGCAGATGCTTAAGGATGAGGACCTGTCCTCTACATTCTGACCCCCACAGGAACTTTCTGCTGCCTGGTTTTTTGTCATTTTGAACTGTTTAATTCTCTTGTTCATTTTAGGTTCTAGTGTTTTGTTTTGCAGAATTGGAAACACAGTAGTGTACTTACTATATCCAGTGTTTCTCTTTGTTTAAAATGTCTTTTAATAAATTCTTTGGTTTGGGACTATTGGTTTGTATCAGCTTGGACTCCCTCTGTTGTGCGTTGTGCGATAGAATCTGAACTCACCTTAGCTTAGGCATGAAAGGAGAGCCGTTGGCTCTTGTGTCTGAGAGCAGGAGAGCAGCCTCAGGCTTCCTCAGCGATCTCCGCAGGATTGGCATTCCACTCCACCAAAGGTGGACTTTCTCCATATCTCTGCTGGTTAGCCACTGGCAGCATCTTCAGGGAAAAAGACTCATGCTCCCCAGCATCTGTATCAATTTCTGGGAAAGAGTTCTGATTATCCCTGTTTGGGTTATATGCTTACCAGTGGCTTGGAGTCAAGCAGGAAGTTTCCAGAAGGAAGGGATATGGAGCAGACAGATGTTTACAGTGTGGTCAAGGAGATTGAATACTTTGCTCCCCTTCTCTCCTCTCTCAAAGGGAAATATGTGTTAAGGATGATGGAGTATCGACACACCAGGTCTCTTCCAGTGCCTGGGACATGGACAGCTTTGGATCTGCTGATGTCTGTTTTACTGTAGCTAAATAATGGAACTTGGGTTTAAGATTGCTGTCTATTATTCCTTCACCTTTGTCTGTAAGACTTTTTGGTATTGGCATTGAAGAGATTGCTGTTGACAGTATATGTTCAACACAGAGAATCCTGTTCCCGCTGCCCAGGAACCGTGCAGAGAGTTAGCTCCTGAAAACGCTTGGGTTATTTCTTAAAGTGTAGCCAACACAGGGGAAAGCAGTATCAAAAAATGGACCTTTTCTCAAGGCCATATGAAGCATAGGGGAACTGATGGGGGGCCAGAAACGCAGGTAAAGGGAGACAGTGCTCTGAGGATTTCCATTCTAGAGGCTTCCAGGCTAGCTAAGCTTGGTACGAGTGGTTGCTCAAATTTGTTTTCTGTTGACATGTTACGCTCATTTGGGGATATGCTTTTTAACATTTTTTGTTCTCTAAAATTTCTCTCAATTCTAATTTTTAAGAAGCCTCTCTAGGGTTCTTTTTAAGGCTTAAGTCAATGTTTACACAAACCTACAATGTTTATAAACATTTTTCCATGACTAAAGTCCAGTAATATTTAAATGTGGAAGGGAGTTTCCAGTTTTAGTTTTTAACTTGTTCCATCAAGTTGTGCATTTGGTACACAAGAGGCCTTAGAATTCTGTAGTGGTTTTTAGTTGGATTTAGCTGCATTTAAAAAACAAGTTGTTAGCCAGGATCCCTAAGGAGCCATAACCAAACAACAGGTTACTCATCTGGCCCTTGTGTGCACACCAGGCCCTTCCCAGGAAGCCTGCAGTCCTGGGGGCCTGCCTGGCCCAGGGACCCTCCTCACCCATCTCATGCATTTATCTGCATCTGCCCTCCATGCATGAGATTTGAGATTTGGGTGACGTGGTTTTTAAAAAATACCCCACAACGTGTCCAACAGAATTGTATCAACTTTTTCAGCAGTAGGAGAGGCCCGTGTGCTGACCCCTGGAGTTCTCCATGCCTGCAGCCTACCCCTTCCTCCCCCTTCCCAGCCTCTCAGGACGAAGTCCCGGAAGGCCCGGAGCGATGCCCTTCTGTGACTGACAGACCGGACCATTTGTTTCTTTCTAACATTTTGTTACGGAAAAAACCTCAAACATACAGAAAACTCAAAATCATTTTCCATTGAACACCATCAACCTACCAACTAGCGCCTGTAAACAACATCTCACTCTCCCTTCTTTGTTGCACATTCATCCTTCAGTCCATCGTCTTATTTTTCATGTATATCAAAATAAATTAGTATTTGGAGGTTTTGGGGGTTTTTTCCTTAACCTTTTTCCAGTAGCTATGAATCCTTCCTCCTTGTTCTGAGGATTTCAGGCATCATTAAGCAAGTGTGGGGCGAGTGCACTGGCAGGCAGGAAGGCCTCCAGTTCTGACTGTGTGGCGGGTGTTCAGTAAGTATGTGTTAAATGAGTGCAGGTCCATTAGTCCTATTTGACTAGCTCTGTAATATGCCTGAACTTGTCACTTAAGGACAGTTATATTTCAAATAAATCATCGGTTTCCTAGGTACATGTTACCTCCATTGGGTAAGATGGACCTTCTCTAATGAGATAGTCCAATGAAAGACAATTATTTAGAATTTGAAATGGATTAAAAATTATATTAAGTACTATACATAAAAGTTTTAGTTATTTTTGTGAGAAAGTGAGCACGAGTGGGGGAGGGAGGGCCAGAGGGAGAAGCAGACTCTCCACTGAGCAGGGAGTCCAATGCAGGACTCGATCCCAGGACCCTGGGATCATGACCTGAGCCAAAGGCAGGTGCTTATTGGACTGAGCCCCCCAGGTGCTCACAGCAGCGATCGTCTTGGAATACGCAGGTAGTGGAGTTTGTGGGAATCATGTGTCTGGGTTGAGGCACTCCAGGAGGAGCCTCTTGAGGAAGAGGCTAAAGGAGCAGCCCCACCTCCCGTCACCCAGAACAGCTTCCCTTTAGTCTGTTTTGTTTTTTTGGTTTTTTTTTTTAGATTTTATTTATTTGACAGAGAGAGAGAGATCACCAGTAGGCAGAGAGTCAGGCGGGGGTGGGGGGGAAGCAGGCTCCCTGCTGAGCAGAGAGCCGGATGCGGGACTCGATCCCAGGACCCTGAGATCATGACCTGAGCCGAAGGTAGCGGCTTAATCCACTGAGCCACCCAGGTGCCCGCCTTTAGTCTGTTTTCCACGGAATTAAGATTTTATTGTAGGAGAAGTTTGAAAATCACAGCTGTTAGGCTAGCTGACGTGCACAACCACGTAGGCCATTATAGAGTGGGTAGTATTCTAGCGGAAGAACTAAGTATATCTTGCTCCCTGAATCTTATATCTGAGGTGAGTTGGCTAGGGGTACTGCTCTATTAAATTCATCCCAGTGGCTCTACATAAAGAATAGTGAGCATTCTCATGGCCCGGGAGTCATCTGAACACGTGTGCATCTTACATGAGTGTTGGCATGAGTGCATCCGTGGGTTCCTTCAGTCCCTGAGAGTGAGTGTGTCCGGAATGAATGATCTCTGCTTTCACTTCTGACCTCTGTAAGGAGCGGGTGTTGGGGCACTTAGGTAGCGCAGTTGGCTTGGCGTCCCACTCTTGGTCTGGGCTCAGGTCGTGATCTCATGGTCTTGAGGTGTGACCCTGTGTTGGGCTCTGCGCTCGGGGCGGATCTGCTCGCAATTCTCTCCCCCTCTGCCCCTGGCCTTCCACCTCTCAAATAAATAAATCTTTAAAAAAAAAAGAAAGAAAGAAAAGTCACACTTCCTTCCCCCCCGCCCCTACCTTGGTGAAATGGGTGTGTTTTGAGACCATTTTGAGAGCTCATCTCTGAAGGTGGTGTGGGCAGCTACCAGGAACCTTTCCCGTTTCCACAACAGAGTAGGGGGCTCTCACTGTTGGTGTCCTCTTTCCTCACAATAGGGCTGATGAATCATTTTGGTAATATGTCTTCCTTTATTTCAAAACAACCACAGCCACGGGCATGAGCATGTTTACAAAGTATATGATGAAGATTGTTTGGTTTTTTTACTGTGAAGTTTACATTTGTAACTTCCTCTGTTCGTCTCTATTCCCAATAGGCGCGGGTTATGTATGATTTTGCTGCTGAGCCCGGAAATAATGAACTGACCGTTAATGAAGGAGAAATCATCACAATTACAAATCCGGTAAGAGGTTTTAAAAAAATCCGGTGGTCTCTTAAGGACTCATTTTTAGGATTTTATTTTTTTTAATAAGTTGATCTTAAAACCCGCACAGATTTTTGCCCTGTTGTTTATGAAGTACTGATGGTGAATAAAAGTTAAGCCCCCAAAAGGTAGTTGGATGGGGTTCCATCAGGCAGAAATGGAAATAGGTGTCCCAGTCAGGTTCCAGCCTGATCACAGGTGGCGAGATGGGAACATTTAGTGTTTCTGGAAAGTCACAGCTGTGGCTGACAGACGACAGCCTGTGAGCCAGGTGTACAGCTGAGCCCTTCACCTGTATTCTTGGTGTGTTTTCTGCATGACCTCTGCGAGCTAGGGCCTCCTAACCTGTGTTGTACAGATGAGGGTAATGAGACCTAGAGGGCAAGCACACTTGCCCAAGATCATTCTGTTTGTAAGTGGCAGAGCATCTGGCATCTGTAAGTGGCAGAACATCTGTTCGGCCTCTGAGCCTCTGCTTTTTCTCTCTGCTGGGAACACGGCAGGTAAACAGGCATCCCAGGGGTACAGGGTGCATCTGGGCCAGTAGCAGACAGCCTAAAAAAACTGGCTCTCCAAGTCCAGTCAGACAGAACCTGTGGGCCAGGATGTAGACCTTGGATTTCATTTGTAAGTAGTGGATTCATTTAAGGGTGTTCTCGTTGATGTTAGGCTGTAACATCCCCTTGATGTAAGGGCACATCTCGTTGATGTGGTGAGCCTTGCATTTCCAGATTACTCTGGCACAGGCATATCGAATGGACTGGTGTGGCTGCAACCCCGGGGATGCCCCTTGGGGTCATAGCAACAGGAATGGAAAAAGCGGAACACAGGAGGCCTTGCCGAGTCCGAGTCCGGCCTGGAGGACTTGATGCCAGATTAGATACTATTGAAGAGAAAAGAGGCAAGGATCCCGGAGATTTTGGCCTTTGGCCTGAGTGAGTGGTGGATGTATTAAAGTGCATGAGTCAGGGAGAAAAGCTTCTCTGGAAAGATAAAAGGAGTTTACTGTTACACAAGGGAAGCTTGAAGAATGGTAAATAATGAACTCTTCCCTACAGCTTTGTATCAGTTTAAAAATGGAAATGCGGAGCTGGAGGCAAGGGCTGGGCCTAGGCTGGCTCTGGGACACCTCTGAGAGTAGCATGTGAAGAAGGTTGTGGGGACAGCCGGGGACATGGAGGGAGGGGAAGGAGGTGATGCAGGCGTTCTTCTGGGTTGGGGGGACAGGCGGCTGGGGCAGTGCAGAGAGCGGGGAAGGAGAGTGGGAAGCAACCAAGAGAGGGTGGTGGCTTCTTGATATTGGAAGTATTTTCAAAATCTTTTTTATATGTTTTAGATATAAAAAAGAATTACTGGGTAAGAAAAGTATATATAGTTTTAGATAATTGCTAGGTGTGTGTTAGTAAGTAGGTTGTATTTTTAATCATAAGAGAGATTAAAGATTCTTTATCCATATGACATTTTTAAATGAAGAAATAGTCTTCATTTCTTGGTAGAATAGTATTGTCTTTAAGTTGCTATTACGTACAAAAATGGACAAAGTTGGGGCTTGAAGTGATTTTTACTTTTATTATTTAGAAAAAAAGATTTTACTCATTTGAGATAGAGACAGAGCATGAGCAAGGGGAGAGGCACAGGGAGAGAGAACAAACAGCAGACTCTCAGCTGAGTTGGGAGCCTGACTGGGGGCTCAGTCCCAGGACCTGGAGATCATGACCTGAGCCGAAGGCAGACAACCAACCATCTGACACCCAGATGCCCCTTTAAATTATTTTTAAAAAAGAATACGTTATTGGGGCACCTGGGTGGCTCAGTCAGTTAAGCATCCGACTCTTAGTTTAGGCTCAGGTCATGATCTCAGGTTCATGGGATCAAGTCCCATGTCAGGCTCCCAGCTGAGTCAGCCTAAGATTCTCTCTTCCTCTCCCTTGGCCCCTTCTCCTGCATGCGTGTTTGCTCTCTGAATAAATAAATAATAAAATCTTCCAAAAAAAAAAAGTGTTCTCTAGATTCAGGTAATTGAGACATGATTTATAAACTTAAGAACTCTTATTTTAAGGTGAAAAAGTAGGACTTTGTAGAGATAATAGATTAAAAGTGGGAATTCCAGTATTTTATAATTGAGTTTAACATTGTTTATCCAGAAGAAAAAGGAACCGTGGATCAGTTGGCTTTCCCTAGGTAACAGGCAATCCTTAAATGAACAACCATTTGTTGTCTTGCTCAGGAACCTCCGGGTTGGCTGGATGGTTCCACTGACCCGAGCTCCCTCCCCTGTCTGCAGTCTGGATGGTTCCACTGACCCGAGCTCCCTCCCGTGTCTGCAGTCAGCACTTGGGCAGCTGGGGGTTGAGTGCTTTCACAGGTGCTACTCAGGTGTCTGGCAGGTCCCCTGCTGAGGGTTGGCTGGCCTGGGGTGGGGTGTTCAGGAGATGGGGCCTTCTCTCTGTCTTCTAGCAACCCACGTTATTCAACAGCTCTTTTGGAAAAAGTGTGCAAAGCCTCTTGAGGCCAGACTCAATTCACCCCATATTATTTCCACCTCACCTCATTCTGTTGGCCGCAGGGGTCACAAAGGATAACACAGATTCACCCCACAGAAATGGGGGTGTCATTCTACTTCTTGACAGTTGGGGCTACAAGCCATTTTTGTCATCTGCCCCCAACCATTGGATCGAGAGGAATTGCACGTGGAGGGCACTCTCGTCTATTGAATGGGCTACTTTTCAGTCTTTGATCACTTGTTTGATTTTTCTTCTTTTTAGATGATGTCATTTTCTAGAGTAAAGAGAAGCCTTAATTATTTATAACTTTGAGGGCACCTGGGTGCCTTAGCAGTCCGTTAAGCATCCCACTCTCAATTTGGCCTGGGCTGTGATTTCGGGGTTGTGAGATCAAGCCCCATGTCAGGCTCTGTGCTCACTCACCCTCACTCTCACACACTTCTCCCTCTCAAATAAACCTTCTAAAAAAAGTGTTTATAACTTTGAACAGTGTTATCTCTGCAGTAATAAAGAGCTTAACATTAATTACTTTTCATGTATAAAAAAGCAAAATTCCTGTAGGAAATTTCAACTATAATGTCATCTTTTTTTTCTTTTCTTTTCTTTTCTTTTTTTTTTAACCTTTATTAGGATGTTGGTGGAGGGTGGCTGGAAGGAAGAAACAGCAAAGGAGAACGCGGGCTTGTTCCCACAGACTATGTTGAAGTAAGAATTTACTGTCTTATAGTAATTAAACCTGGTCTTTCAGACATGTTTTTATGAATTATGGAAAGTAGCAACTTCATTTTTAATAAAAAAAATTTATGCTGTAAAAGTAATACATGCTCATTATGTAAAGTGTGAAAAATATATTGAAGTAGAACTAAGAAAAAAATGTTACCTGTAGATGCAAGCTCCAAGGAGTGACTCCAGGTATGTAGATTAAGTTCCTTCTGTTATTCTGAATAAATGTCCGTATTTTTCCTCTTTATATTGTGTAATCGCTGCTGCCTATAATAATACTGTTTATATTACAGGATTCATTTACAAAGTTTAAAAAGATTCTTTTGAAGTAGCTCCCTTTGCTCTGTGCTGGTTTAGGCCCCATCCCTCAACTCCTTCTGGTATTCCCATAGAGGGTCTTGGATGAGCTCCCTGGGAGCTGCTGCCTGGCTTAAACTCTGTGCCCCTATAGGCTAAGCAAGGCTAGTGTACCCGCCCCTGGAAGGAGCCTCCCACCTGGGACACACCCACTCAGCTGACAACCCCACTCTGAGCCAACCTCCTGGCGCCCCCTGCTGTTTGCCCGTAGGTCGCTCAAACTCCATCCTGGGTCCCTGGTCGGTTTGCCTCAGGTGACCAACCAAAACCAAGGTTGCGTGGTGCCCTCTGAGTGAAACAGGAGTGAGATCAGGAACAAGGTGCTCTGGTTCCCCTCCAGCAGAGGGGAATGATGCCCGGGGTGGGTGTTGACCTGGGCGCTGTCTACCTGTTGTTCCTGATGGAGACGAGGGGTGGGGAGTTTTGAACCCTCTGGAGAATCTGATGAAACTGTGGCCCTTCTTCTCAGAAATCTGTGTGTGTGCCTGCACCCCGAGCTCGCCTGTGCAGTTCCAGAGGGCTCACAGGCCCCTGGACTCACCCCACCGCTCTTAGTTTTATGTCCTGTTTTACCTGCACTGTGTAGGCAGGATCCTAAAAATGGACAAGAAAGAGAGAAATCTGAGGGTTTAAGTTGGTGCTGGCATTAATTGAATTTCCTAGAACTGTGTATGCTTCTGGAAGGGAACATTTAATAGAGATGTTCAAAGGCTTACTTACCTTTTAAGAACATAAACCCCTTTTCCATAGTAGATCACAATTTTTGCTTGTCTTTAGAGGCTCTAACTCTGAAATGCCCCTAATCTATGAAAAATCTATATTCTTTCTAATATTCAGATTTTACCCAGTGATGGAAAAGACCCATTTTCTTGTGGAAATTCAGTGGCTGACCAAGCCTTCCTCGATTCTCTCTCAGCAAGTACAGCTCAAGCCAATTCGTCAGCTGCCAACAGTAACAACCAGGTGAGTCTCCTGTCCTCTGGCTGGCCTGAGAGCGGCACATCTGTGAGGGCTCGTGGTGCGTTCTCGAGGGTGCCATTCCTGACAGCGTAAAGTAGCTAGTAGATGTCTGTGTGGCATTGCTGTGGGCATTAACAAAGAACTTGCCTGTTACACTGGCTAACACCTGTTTCTAAAGCTGTTTATGAGAGAGAATGCAGGGTGTTCATTGAGAGTTGCTTCTAGAAGTCTGGCATGATATGAACATAGACACTATGAGGCGCAGATATTCTCCCAAGCAGGGGGAGGAAAGGCAGGGTCCCACACTCAGGCGATGAGTGTCAGAGCTCCGGCTAAAACAGGAAATGACTTCTCTGACCTTGGCATGTTTCCTACACTCTCACAGTCGCAGGGCAGGTGAACGTGGCTGCAGATGTGGCACTCAGTGCTTATTAGCACTGCCGTTGTGTTGCCTCTAGGAAACTCATAATTGTGGGACAATTTGAGAAGAATACGCTGAAATTCGGCATTAATTTTAATGAGAGTCTGACTTGCTTAGATGACTTTACCTAGTTCAGTTATCGTTAAGTGATTACCTTGGGTGAGCGGCAACGAGGAAAGTCAGAAGATGGAGAGCAAAATGTTACCACTTCCTACATCTTCAGAAACAAATGGGCTTTAGGAGATGTTATTTCTTGATATTCTTTAACTACATAGAAGGTTTTAAATGATGTGAAGCCTCACAGTCCTATCACTTAGTAATTATTTGCTTACAGAATGTTTATATCTTAACCATCCAAGAGAGTTTATCCAGGTGCTATTACCGTATGTTAACTGCAGTTTTTATACATTTTTATTTACTTGTTTTTTAAAGGTTTTATTTATTTGAGAGAGACAGTGAGCATGAGCGGGGGGAGAAGCAGAAGGAGAGGGAGAAAACACTCCCTGCTGAGCAGGGAGCCCTGACGTGGTAGGGGGTGTGGGGGGACCCAGTCCCCGAATCCCAAGATCATGATCTGAGCTAAAATCAGATGCCTAACCAACTGAGCCACCCACGCACCCCGATTTTATGCATTTGTAAATAGCTTTTGGTGGACATTAGAATAGAATAAGCAAAGGAATCAGCGAAGGAAGCAAGAGGTGGAAGAACACTCATCCTATTTTAACTCAGGGACCTACGCCAGCCACTGTCCAGGATGGACCGAAGCACTCTGACCACAAGTTCACCGTGCGGCTGTAGTCTTGGTCTGTTACGAACCAGCTTCCTCGGCATTTCAGCACGCAGCAGGGACCGAGTGACATAAGTCAAAATGTGTCTTCTTCCAGGTTATTTAGAAAAAAATAAAATGAACTTTTTAAGGTGGATTTTACTATTCCATTCTAATGCTAAATCTAACCAGATCCTTTAAAAGCAAAGAAAAAGTGAACTGAAACTAGAAGTAACAAAATTCAGAAAGCATGACCATAATTAATTAACTGAGCACTTGGATTTAATTTAAATCAAGTAAAAAAAAAATTTTTTTTGAATGAGAGTAGGTGGGGAGAGGCCGGGGGGAGGGAGAAAGAGAATCCTGAGCAGGCTCCACACCCAGCGCAGAGCCGGACATGGGACTCTGTCCCACAGCCCTGACATCATGACCTGAGCCAGATGAAGAGGCAGGCGCTCAACTGACCGAGCCATCCAGGGGCCCCCTTCTCAAGTAAAAACAATTTTAATAGCCATCTGTGCTTTCAGTCATTTGGGATAGAAGAATAATTTAAATAGGCCAAAATGGTGGTATGTTTATAAATACCATGAAAAATGTCACGAATGAGAAGCCAGACAGGCATTTTTAATTGGTGGCTTTTCAAAATTTTGCTGTCAGGTTTACTCATTCTTTAATTCTCTGAATGTCAATAGGAAAATGCTATTTTTGTTCCAGGGATATGCCTCTTGGGATTTTCTCATTGCCCTGGCAGTATGTTCTCTCCCAGACGTCAGTTTTACTCAGAGGGCAAGTGTGTCAGCAGGGCCCACTCTGGCCCTCCCTAGTCAGGCCCCGCAGGATGCACCCCCTTGCCCCGTGGCGCGCTGCTCACTTGGAATCCGCGCGTCTGCTGTCCTAGCACCGGTTCTCCTGAATCTGGCCTTCTCCCCGCACAGGCAAGCTGCAAACAGCCAATACACATAGGAAAAGACTCACTTGCAGAGGCCACTGTTAAATGGCCAGAGAATTAAATAGTTTTAAGGCCGAGTTGTGAGGCAAGGCACGCGCAGGTAGGTGCTCCGACGCGAAGCTGGGGAAGGATGAGTTGACAAAGCTTCTGGAAGGCAGTCATAACGAGTGTTTGTACTGAAAACGCGCGCACTCTCTGACCCAGCAGTGGCTCGCGGAGCTGTGAACACAGCCTCGCGGGCAGAAGCTTCGCCGAGTGCGGTTCCGGCAGCGGGAGGCTGGGACACGCGCGTCACCGGAGGGGCCTGGCCAGGCAGACCCCGGGGCCGCCACGCAGTGGGGAGGTGGCTTCCTGGGGGAGCGCGAGTCTCCCCCGGGATGCAGCGATGTGGGCGTGTGGTTGTTTCCAGAGGGACAGCACTAGGGATCGTGTTACCTGTCCCGGGCTCAAGCATATACACGCCACAGATGCCAACTGCAGAATATTCAGGAACGAATCATGGAATTCTCAGTGTTTCCTTACTCATGTGCAGGTTCTGAGGTGCACGAGGACCGCCACCGCAGCGCCTTTAGAAAGGCAGAATCGTCTCTAGTGGATCGCGTTGGCTTCCCTGTTCCTTCTCTGTCTGGGGTTTTAGAGCCTCAGGGGCGACCCACGTGGGCGGCAGGGCCACCAGCTCCTTCAGGGACGTGTGGACAATTGTCCCCGTCTGGATTTGCGCCCAGTTCCCCGTGTTTAAATCACGCCATCGCCTTGGTTCTGAAAAGCTGCTCATGGTAGATGTTTCCGAACCTCCTCTGTGGCTGCTCAGTGGAAGGTTCTGGGAACCCAGACGTTTCCTCTGGGGGTTTGGGAGAGGCTTTTTCTGTCTTCATCAGATACCGCAGGAACCCCCGAGCCGGCACCAGCTGCTGCTCTGTGCCCCGCGCCGCATCCCCGTCCCCCGGGAGGCTCCGGTCTCTGGCTTGCAGCGTCCTCACCCCCAGCTGCGCGCTCTGCCCTGGGGCCGGACGGGGCCTGAGCCTGGGGGTCATACGCGGGGGGGACAGGCTGGCTCCTCTGTCCCAGCCTCTGGAATGGGAGGATTGGACCCCTCGTAGGAAGTGCTGTCAGCACCCAAGAGACCTTCCGTAAATACTTCCTCTTCCAGCCTCCCTGCCGCCCTTCTCCGAGGGGGTCTTCCCGAGGCCTTAGCCCGCTTCACTCCAGCCTTTCTCCCTCTCCCACAGCCACGGAGACGTCTCTCCAGTCTTGAGTTTTCTCTTCAGTTTGCTGCATTCCTGGCTTCTTGTTCCGGCCTTTTCCCCACAAAACTGGCTTCTCTTTCTCACCTTCCCATGTCATTTCTCTGGAATGTTCTTACCGCCCTGCTCTCGTTCCTCTGTGAGACCCTCACAGGGACGGTTACTCACGGGCCTGGCCTGCGTTCCTCAGATGGGGAAGGGCCGGGAAGCGTGGCTTCTCAAGCCAGGACTCCCGCTTCTGTGTGACTCGGCGGGCCCCGTCGCTTCTGTGCCTGCAGGTCCTCATCTGGAAACTTCCACAGGGCGGCAGGAACACACTGACGGAGAGATGGAGTGTTGGGAGCAGTACTGGGTACTCAGCAGGGACTTCCTAACTGTTTGGTTTGGTATTCTAGATGCCACTGCCTCTAAAACAAGACATTCAGTGTGTCAGCTCTTTGCTTGAGAAACTCTCGGGGCTGCCCCATTGCCTCCCGAACCAAGTGACCAATTGCACATGTCCAGGGAGCAACCTGTGGGGCAGGTGGTCACCGTCCTGTCAGTGATTGGGCAGACCTGGGACAGCGCATGGTGGGGAAATCGTGTAAGAAATTCAGCTGCACTTGTGTGACCGATACTTTCCCAACCTCGGTGGTATTGCTCTGACTCCCCAGCATGGCCCCATCCTCACTCTTACCGTACTTCTGCGTTGGGCTCCAGCCAGACGGGCCCTTCCCCAAATGTGCCCCGTGCTAGCCGCCCTTGACTTTGCATCTCTTACTCTCTCCTCCAAGAAGGACGGAATGACTCGTTCTGCCTTTCAAGTCTGCACAGCCCCCAAGGTTCAGCTTCAGTACTGCGCCCCTTATGAAGCCTCGTTTGGTCTTTCCTTCTCTCGATTCCCTTAGCGCTGTTTCTGACTCTTCCAGCAAATTATTTGTGTACTTGCCAGCTTGGTGAGAAGCAGAGATTTTTGTCTTATTTTTTCCCATTCACGTAACCTGTAAGAGGCCTTGCATCTAATCGTGTTCTGCACACGTTGGAACGGTGTGTTGTTGTCGTTCTTCCCTAAATCTAGCGGAAGTATATCACTGTGGAAAATGTTATGAGATGTAGCTTTATGTCCCAAACAGGACATAAAGCTACCTATTTTAAGACTTTGTGCTAACAAAATAAGTCAACACTCTAATACAAATATTTCCCACTTCTTAGGACAAATTAATAAAATAAGTTTTCATTTCCTGTATTTAATTCATTCAGCCTGAATTCTGTCAGGGGAGGTAGTGTCGTTTTCAACATCGGCCTAGGACTAGGAACATAACACCTCATTCTACCGTCTGCTGGTTTACCCAGTCAGAAGTGGTTCATTCCCTTACAGGAAATTCACTGGGATTGCTAATTATTTTAAACCATTTAGATATTAAACAAATGCTCAAAGCTAAGTGGGTATTTAGGGAAATGACATCTTTTTATTCAGAGATTTTCAGTGTAATGATATTTGTTATGAAGGACTTTTAATTGGTTAAGGGATAAAGAAGGCAATAGCAATTTTACATTGGAACTACATTTTGCTTTCTCATTTCTAAAAAAAAAAATCCATTTTTAGGCCACTTTAAGGCTGTCTTGTAATTCATTTAAAAATAAATCAGCAAAGGAATGCTTTACATGGGTATTAGGTTTGCTTATTATTTCATTATCTCAGATAAGATCTGTAATGCCGTAGACTTCTCATGATTGCTTGTTGAGATTTCCTCTTTACAAAACCCTGTTGGAAAGGTTCTCTCTTTCTCCGCACCCCCCAGACAAACCCCTTTTAATGAGTTACAGGGCTTTGTAAGGAAGGCTGTAGACCTCTGTCTAAAGGATTTGCTGACATTTTTCTCTAGAACTGCATCAGGCTAGTGATACTAACTTTCCATGCTTTTTTGATCCCAGATCCTTGCTTTGAATAAGACTGCTTTATGTGTCTAGGGAACCTTTCCAAAAGTACATGCTGTGACGTTCATTGTTGAGGGTGGTTTGTCATTGTTGTTTGTGCAGGAAACAAATGACAAAAGGGAAGGGTTTGTTTTGTTTTTTACCTGAATATTGCTTTGATGAAGGGCCAGTGAGCATTGTTGCAACACAGCCTGTCATCAGAGGTGTCCTTAAGCCCATCTCTCGTGGCCTTTTATTAGACCCATCTGGAAGCTGCTCATAGCATCTTCCTGTTTGGGACATAAAGCTACCTATTTAAGGCTTTGTGCTAACAAAATAAGTCAACGCTCTAATACAAATATTTCCCACTTCTTAGGACAAATTAATAAAATAAGTTTTCATTTCCTGTATTTAAAAAATAGATACCTGCGGTTGACACTGATGGGTTCAGAATGTGAGTTAACAAAGGGTTTGTTAAACCAGTTAAGCTTTTTTGGGTCATTTCCAATCAGCACAAACAGGTTTAATTGGTTCTTGTGATCTAGACTCATTTTTTTAAAGAATGTACAAGTTTTATATTCTGACCAGTGGTTTCGTGAAGATAGTACAGGTTCATCTGAATTAAGTGAATTACAGTTAGATAATATCCTTTGAGCAAAAGATCTGTAAGGAACAAAACGGGAAATTTTGCATATTCTTCTACAGTCTACGTGGAGATGGCTGGGCTCTCTACATAAGAGAATTTTGTGCCCTCTGTGGGCCCTTTTGAGGAAGAGTTCAGTCTTTGTCAGGAACTGTTGAATGTTCTTGGGCATCACAGTATTTGCTTTCTGCCCCTACTTTCTGACACATTTGGCACGTGGCCATTACGTGTCTGATGGAGAAATGTCAGATAAAGACTTTGATTCCCCAGTCATGCAGATGAGTTGTCAAAACAAAAGAAGAAAAAAAACATAAATCACGTCAGCCTTCACAGAGCATGCAACTTTCTTTTCATTCCTGTAGCAAATTTCTGGACAAAGTCTTGCCCTGGAAGGGAGGAATTTTGTGACTAGAAGCTTCCATCTGTGCTTCCAAGCAGAGGACCGTTCATGAGGGTGTAGTGGAAAGAGAGGCCGTGGCTGGCAAGCCAGTTGACACCACACAGAACGTATGAGTGTGGGACGGAGGCACTGCGAGTACTCCCTTGTGTGGTGACAAGGAGAACCTTCGATTGCTTCCACGGCCTCTCCCCCAAGGTAACAATGTGAAAGTAGTGAGCCCGTGAGTCAGGCCGCCTCTTCCCTGGTGGACATACCAGACCGTGTGGTCCGCATTGACCTGTACTGATGGGAGCGTGTCCTCTCGGGAGCCAGGTGGGCAGCCAGAGCTGTGAGCACCCACCGGCTTCCTTGAGCCGTTGTCTGTCCTTTGTACTCGTGTTTGCTGGTTTGGCAGAAAGCAGCCTTGTTGAAATATGCGTGTTATCTTTCTCATTAATTCTCAGACCTCAGTTACCCTCAGTGTCCAGCCTAGTGTGGGAGGACCCACAGAGAAACGTTGGCACCATTACCCTTCTCTGTGTCTTGTCGCCGTAGCTCCCATATGGCCGCTCTCTTAATGTGTGCAGCCAAATTTGTCCTTCTCAGACCATGTCTCGGCTGCTTCCTGCGAGACCAGTGGACGAGCCAGATCTCACCACTGTTATCCGAAAAAGACCCTGCCCTCTTGTCGGAAGTAGCAGTGTGCTTCTTACTGGTCCAGGTCCCCCCAAAGATGTCCCATACGAAGCAAAATACAGCAAGATAGGACACAGAGCCTGTCATTTTTATGCACTAGGGTTTTTATTTTCTTTAAAAGCAGTTTCTAACTAGAACACTTTATTATTATAGAAGCAGTACGTATGCACTGTAGAATATTGGAAAATTCGGGCTAGACAACAGAAAAACACCACGTCCCCACCATTCCCTACCATTTTACACCATGGCTCATGCTTTACTTTCCCTGCTGAACACGGTTATCCACGTGTGTACCCATACGAGACACATACAGGACATGCTGTTTGTAGCCTTTTTAAAAGTTGGCAATCCTTTTCAGTAAATTTTCATCTTATGTAACATCCAGACCAACTTGAACTTTCCCAGCAGACCCCAGAATGTCCTTTACTTGTTTAGGAACTGGTGTTCAGTGTAGGGCCAAGCACTATGTCTGATTCTGTCTACTGTGTCCCTCACACGTCTCCTTTCTTTCCAGCACAGCCCCTAGTTTTCTGTTCTTACTAGGTTTTCCTGTGGAATTGCTGTCTTTTGCATTTGTCCGGTGGTTCCTTTGGTATCGTCCGAGTTGTTCCTCTATGCTCTGTCTGTCGTATAAATTGGAAGTTGTACCTAAAGGCTCAAAGGAGGCACAGAACATTCTGGGCAAGAGTATACCCTAGGGATAGTGTATATCTATGCTACATCACATCAGAGGATGCCGCTGGTCAGGTGGAACCGTCGAGTCACGTCCTCTCCCTGTGACCAGAGGGTAGTCTGTCTGCTGTCCGTTCGGCGCTGTTAACCGTTCACCTCAGAGCTTACCCCCAGCTGACATCCTTGCCTCAATCAGTACAGCGATTTCTTCCACATTTACTGAGGGGCTTTCTTCCCTAAAGTAGCACTTTTCCTTTCTCCGTTGGAGCTACTTAGCCACCTTGGAAAACTGTTTCTGCTGGAATTTGGCCCCACAGCTGTCGCGACCAACCGTGCTGGTGTGGCCATCGATTAGCTTCCTGGGAGTGTGTCCGTTACCTGCTGTCATGAGGACGCCGTGTACCGAGCCAGGGAGGGCCTCCGGAGCACACACAGAGACGTGCTCCTGCGGGCATGGCCTGGCCGGCTGCTCCCGCCTGCCTCTGGGCCTGCCGGGCTTCACTGCGACTCCGGGCCGGCCAGGTGGCCTGGCTCATCTCACGTGCCCCGTGGCTTTGAAAACACTCGTTCAGCATCTTAACAGTTTGGAAAGCTTGGCTTTGTGTTTCCTCTGGAGTTTCTTCCTTTGGCTGTGTGACCTGCATGGTTTTGCTCACCCCTTCTGTGCTGCCTGGGGTTATTTTTGGCGCTTCAGGATAGCACGATGCTCTCCGGAACGTGCATGGACTATCACCGGCTCCCCCACAGTCGGGGCTTGGCTTTTGCACGGAAGGCTTGTGAATGAACAGCATGCTGGAATTTTCTGGTGGCCTTAGCCCTGTCACGAATTTGCTGTTTCTAGTTAAAAGCTTTGGTATGCTCTCTTTTTCCTGCATTCACTGAGCACCCTTTTTGTTTTAAGGTGGATATTTTGGCTCAGATTGGTTGTATTGAAAGTCTCAGCCAGTCACCACCTTCCTCATCTTCTCCTTCTCCTACCATAAATAAGGTAAAATTCAAACCGGAATGCAAGAGGAAATAAACATTTCAAACTCCTCAGAGTAACCCTTTTCCCCGAGCGAGGTGATTGTTTCAGGCGAAGTATCTTACCGAAGGCCTTCCTGGGGCGCGGAGACGTAGGGGTGGAACAGGTAGAGGGATTGGAAGGGCAGCTGGGATTCGCACCTAGGGGAGCTTATCACTGAGGCTCGGTGGACAGTCTGTTCCATGGACAGTGAGCGCTAATGAGGGGGTCTTAATCACGTGGTTCACAAAGTCAGGAGCTGTTTGGTACCATAACGGGCCGACAGGGAAGAGGATGGAGACCTTGCAGAAGGAGAGAGGAAGGAAATCCAGAAGAAAGGAGAGAAGAGGCCACTCCGGGTTTGAAGCCTTGGCTCAGAAGCAGAATGGGTTGTCCGGCCAAATGCCTGTGGTTGGGGCACAAGGGTTCGAGGACAAAGGAGTCAGAGGCCATAGCGTCATTAAGCCAGGTCCCCTTTGCAGGTTGTTACAGGAGGGGTTGGACTTCAAAGGCTCTGGCATCTAACACCCAGAAAATGTTTGTGCCAAGCGCCCCAAGAAGGGGTACTGGGAACCGAAAACAGAGATGTCGGAGACCTGCGCGTGGCGAAGTGGGTTCAGAGGAGAGAGACAGACTGTGTGAGCTGCTGCGGGTTGTTGATCTCGGAGGGGGAGGGGCCCTGGGACTCCACAGAGACCATCTGAGCGAGCGAGCGAGCGAGAAGTCGGTGATCAAAGCTGGAGAGCTGTCCAGTGGGCCAGGCTTTGAGATGCTTATCAGCAGGAGTCACCTGGAAACAAGATAGAGGGGATGTCCCAGGGAAAACAAAGAGAAGGAAGCAAATAGTTACTAGATCTGCCTACAAGGATTTCATAACCTAGGTAGGAGCTGAGATCATACAGATGACCAGATAATACCAGTTACTACAAGCAATTTATAAACAAAGTCGTTTTATTTATTTTTACCCTAATTAATTTTTTAATAAATTTCATTGATTTATTTTTAAATTTAAGTATAATTCACATGAAGTGTTATTTTAGTTCCAGGTATGATTCAGCAATTCTGCACATTTCTTTCTGTCCGTCTTGATCAGGCTCTTAATCCCTTCACACAGCTCGCTGGTCCCCTCCCCCACCTCCCCTCTGGTAGCCTCCAGTTTGTTCTTTGTAGTTAAGAGTCTTTTTTTGTTTGTCTCTTTCTCCCTTTATTCGTTGTTTTTTTCTTAAATTCTGTGTATGTGTGACATCCTATGGTGTTTGTCTTTCTCTGACTTACTTCACTTACTATTATGCTACGGTCCATCCGTGTTGTTCAGATGGCAAAAATCACTTTTTATGGCTGGGTAATATTCCCCCGTGTGTGTGTTCTTTATCCCTTCATCTGTGCATGGACACGTGGGCTACAGTAGATAATGCCACGGTAAACATTGGGGTGCATATATCTTTTCAAATCAGCGTTTTCGTTCAAATACGGTAGTTTTCAAAGGAACCATCTTTTGTTTGTTTTAAGGATACTTCCTCTGAATATTTCACATCTGATTCTTTCCTTGGTGTTGACGAAAACCTTTCTCTGCTAACATTGTAGTCTTCATGTCATAGCAGCGCTGAGCGTCACTCCTGTGCTGCGTTATAACCCTCTGTTCCCTCTCTGTTTCCCTCATGTAACTCCCACCAGCCTTTCCGAATCGGAGGCAGGCTGCCTGGTTTTGAATTCTAGCCTGAGGTTTCCCGGCTGGAAAGAGGTAGAAGCAGAGTGTCAGACCGGCCGCCTGACCAGAGCCCGTGCCCCCCCACTGTGCTGCCCTCAGCCCATCACTTCACGGCGGGACCCGCTTAGTCGGGCCTTGATGGAACTGCTAGACAAATGAGTGTCTGTACTCACTGTCCTCTTATTGTCCCAAATTTCTGTACTTTTTGAAGTTCTTATTCTGAAAACCTCACAGTTGAGAGTTTGGAGGGTACAGAGTATATACTGGTAAAAATGGATTCTTCTTCTTCTTCTTCTTCTTTTTTAATGCTTTTATTCAATGTAAATTTATTTGGCATCTGCCAGACACTGTATTTGGTAAGCAATAGTAATGAATGGAATCAAGATTTCACTTTAAGGAAATAACAGTACAGTCAGAAAATATGTATCCATGTACACAATACCTCAAGATTTATACATGGAGATAATCACAGTAAAAACAGAATTATTCAAATTTGTTAAAGCACCAAAAGGGATTCTTCTAAGCGAAGTGTGCTTGTCAGGCCCTTAGCACGACCGCCTCCATCTACAGAACCCACGAGAGCTCCTTGTGCGTATCACCATGCGGCATATTTGCGAAAATCACAGTCATCTGGGCGAAATGTCATTCTGTTGGTATTCAACTTAGAGCCAATCACTAGTAACTTCACTCTTTCTCTTGAAGATAGATGTTTGAATGAACTGTACTTCACATGTAAAACATAGACTCTGTTTTCTATGGTTCTGGTGCGTGGCAGGCAGTTGTCCCCACATCTGTCAGTGAAGAATAAAAAAAAAAAAAAAAAGCCAACACAATAGTATTCTAGAGCATTAGGTATATTAGACAGTTTGGGTAACTTTCTTGCAGATTCCCCTCTTTCTTTGTTCTTTTTTTTTTTTTAAACTAACACTGGTTTTTTGTTTTTTGTTTTTTTTTTAATGTGAGAAAGAAGACTCAAGAGGAAAATCTGCTATTCCGTGTTCTTAGATAAACAGATTCAATACTGAAATTTTTTTCTAAGGCACTATTTGTTTTCCCTGATTTTATCTGTAAGTTTAAGGTGGTACTAGTAAAAATCAACACATTTTTCAAAATCTGACATTCTAATGCAAAAGTTTAGATTGTTTTACTTTTTTTAATTTTTTTAAAAATTTTTAAAAGATTTAATCTATTTATTTGATAGAGAAAGAGTTACAAGCAGAGGGAGTGGCAGGGAGAGGGAGAAGCAGCCTCCCGCTGAGCAGACAGCCCAACAGGGGGCTCAGTCCATGAGCTTGAGATCACAACCTGAGCCTAAGGGAGACACTTAACCAACTGAGCCACCCAGGTGCCCCTAGGCGGTTTTACTTTTAAAACATTAAGCTGATGCTAAAGTTCATGTGTAAAAATAAACCGATAAAAGATTTATGCTAAAGTACTGATACTGTTGTATCATCTAATGGGCTCACAAGTCACTTGGTACTTATACAAATGGATTCCTAGGAGACAAGAAAGAGCCCAGATATAGGCCCAAGGACAGCCTACGAGTAAGAAGACATTTCAGTTCAGTGGGGGCAAGACAGATTTTTCAGTAACTGGTGTTAGGCAGACGGATGACAAGAAAAAATTAAATCAGATTCCCTCATTATTTCCTCCACCAAAGTAAATTCCAGGAAAATCAAAGGTTTACAATTTTAAAATCAAGGAAATAAAAAAACAAAACAAAACAAAACTAGTTACCTCAAGTGAACGGGGCCAGGGGAGAAGTGGGCTGCAGGTTCTCTTACCATAATAGTCCTTGAAATTGGGCGCCATGTATTGTCTTTTCCAAGATTTTATTTGTGTTGTGAATAATTAAATGGTAAAATTACTTAAAGGAATAATGGGTACAAATATTTTAAAATGAATTTTGGAGCATGACACCCCCTTTTATGCATGGCAGAGCCCGTTGGCAGGTCGGTGGGGAGCGTAGGAACTGAACTGTCAAATGGGGCTGTACAATCTCTTTGGAAAGCAGTTTGACAAATTCTGTCCGCTGAAAAAGCCCATTCTCATTAGCCCCCCAATTGCTTTCTGGGGATTTTAGTCGTTGTGTTGGACACGTGGGGAAGGATGTACAAGGAGGCGCGCTGCGGCGGTATTTACGGTAGCGAAATGCAGCAGCGCGACCCGTGCTGGAGCATCAGCTTGTGCCGGGGAAGCTGTGGGAGCTAAAGGCAGCGGAACAGGCCACGGGGAAGAGCCACGTCAGCCAGAAGAGCTGGTGGACCACAGAGGACGTATCGGGTCACCAAGTGAGAAAAACGAATACAAGTGCAGAGCACAAATGTTTAAAAACAAAAAGGGCCCTTGCTTGTGGGAGGTTCGATGCAGTATCTAGAAGGAGTTCGTTGGTGGTAGTTGTCAGGAGATAATGACTGGCAGCCTGAGCGGCAAGTGTATTTTTTAAAGGGCGTACGTACCCTTTTATCCTGCTGGCGTTTTGGGTTTGTTTTTTTTACTGGGAAGGTGGGACTTTTCCATAGAAAAATTAAAACCTAGCCAAAATACAGTGGATTTACTCTAAAGCAGTTCAGGTGAATAAAACAGATCCTTCTCAGCATGTGTAATGGCAGAAACATGACAGAAGTGCAGACAAGACACACACCCCATGGGATGCCGTGTATGTCAGTTTGAAGAACCCAGTGCAGTTGTTCATGACCGTGGACTGTGACATGGAAGGACGGCCACAGCCACAGGAATGGCTACGGTTCAGAAGAGTAGTTACTGGGGGAGGGAAGAAGAAAGAGGGAGTTGGGCGGCCCCGTGTCCTAGTTCCTTTGTTACTGGTTGTCAGGTTCCCAGGAAGCAGGGCAGAAGGTTAACATAAAAAAATCAGGTTGATGCTGCTCTTTCTGCTTTCCTTAACTGTTTATTTAAATGGAAAATTTATTATTTAAATTTTTAAAATTGTTTTAGGGTCACCTGGGTGGCTCAGTCATTAAGCATCTGGTTTCAGCTCTGGACAGGATCCCTGGGTCCTGGGATTGAGTCCTGAGTCAGCCTCTCTGCTCTTCCAGAGGCCTGCTTCTCTCTCTCCCACTCCCCCTGCTTGTGTTCCCTCTCTTGCTGACTCTCTCCCTGTCAAAAAAAATACGTAAAAGCTTTTAAGAATATATTTTTTTAATTGTTTTAAACTTAACATCCTTTTTATTTATCAGTGTTAGGTGATTTCTTCTGAATTAAGTAATGATTTTGAGACAGAACAATTATTGTTTCTCTCTCTCTCTTTTTTTTTTCAACTCCTGACAACAGGTCAGCAGTGGTAATGACCCCTGGTCAGCCTGGAGTGCTTCCAAATCTGGAAACTGGGACAGCACGGATGGCTGGGGGGCCAAGCCAGAGGGGGCTGCGGCCCAAAGAAACACCTCCAATAACTGGGACACTGCCTTTGGTCACCCCCAGGCCTACCAAGGACCAGGTGAGGAAGAGGGTTCTGCTGGTGATCAGGCCCACCCTGAACTTGGTTCAGGGTAGAAGTGACTGGGGAGGGCATCCAAGTTAAAAATAGAATTTAATCAGAGGCGCCTGGGTGGCTCAGTCAGTGAAGTGTCTGCCTTTGGCTCAGGTGATGATTGGGATCGAGCCCCCCACATTGGGCTCCCTGCTCAGCAGAGAGCCTGCTTCTCTCCCTCTGTCTTTCTCTTCCCTCTGCTTGTTCTCTCTCTCTCTCTCTCTCTCTCAAATAATAAAGAAATAAAATCTTTTTAAAAAAATAAAAGATATTTTAAAAATAGAATTTAATCAGAGGAGTGCTCTCTGCTGCCCTTGTCATTAATAGCAGACCTAGATTTCTGGACCCAAATGTGGGTAGTCGTTAGTTATAATCTGTAGTCCCAGCTCCATGATCTGTCGCGGAGTCGCAAATGCTTGCGGGGGCCAGGTTCACAAGGCAGGAGAGCAGAGCAGCCTATGGCTGCGGGAGAGAAGGGGCAGCCCTCCTGTCACCAGCGGAATGATGCCAGTGCAGGAGACCCAGCCCGTGGTCCTGGACCTCCACGGTGCCGGAGACTGGTCATCTCTGTTTTTATGTCCTCTTCCCACTCTAAAGTCTTAGCATCTGACACACATTTGTTTTAACATCTTGGGCCCAAAAAATGTGTATACAGAGCGAATGTGATTTATCACCTGTTGGTTTATATCTCTGACTTAATGGTTTTACCTTTTCCTGAACTACCTGTTTTAATGGAAATACAGAGGCAAAAAAGGAATTTATAGGTGGGAAAACAATTCAGGGATTAAGAGAAAGGATGTTTATACCTGTTCTGAAATTAAAGAAAAAGACAGATATCCGCCCCTCATTTTTTCATGACCGATGTGTGATCCCATCACACGGAGAATCGACGGTGCTAGTGGCTCCCACGCGTAGCCAGGCGCCACGGGCCAGTGGAAGGACTGCGAGCTGACTGCTTGCCCCTAGTTCTGTACCAGCTCGGCCCGATCTTCCAGTACATTCTGTTCTTTATCATTTTCATTTTGGCGTCTGTTTCTTGGCTTCTCTTGGTGGCACCCCTAAGGCAGAGATCCCAGGGCATTTTTCTGCCTAATAGTAAAAGGACACATGAGGCCATCAGGGTGGGAGACAGAGGCGCAGGCAGCAGGGCGGGCAGGGACGGGGGGAAGCTGGCTGCAGCGTGTGCACCGACAGACACCAGCGTTCGAATAGGAGGATGCAGGTCTGTCGATGCCCCCTTGTCTCATTTCTTCTCTTCCCCTTCTTCCGCCCCTCCCCTTGTCCTTTCCTCACCTATATTAACCTCGGGGTTAAAAGAATTCCTGGGAGGCCTGGGTGGCTCAGTCGGTTAAGCGTCTACCTTTGGCTCAGGTCATGAGCCCGGCTTCCTGGGATCAAGTCCCGCATCGGGCTCCTTGCTCAGCGGAGAGCTTGCTTCCCGCTCTGCCTGCCGCTCCCCCTGCTTGTGCACACGTGCTCTATTAAATAAATTAAATTAAAAGAATTCCCCATCAAAAATGTACCATCCACCCTCCATCCCTCCTCCCCAATAGTCGTGATATTCATGGGTATTTGATCTGCTTATTTGCAGCTTTATAGTGAGAGTTATCTGTGCTCCGGCCTTGGCTTGTGAATCCTCCTGGGAGCCGCCTCTAGCCTGCGCTTCCCTGGCCTTGGTTACCCTGACAGCCTCATTTTCTAACGTGTCTTCTGCATGGAAAGGCAGACTGCCTGGCTGCAGCCCAGCACTGACTGGAGAGCCAGCGCCGCATCTGCGTTCCAAGCCTGTGCTACACCTTCTCTCCTTCGTGCTTTCATTGGCTGATGCAGTCAGTAGTCCTATCAGAGAATGACGTGGTTCCGTTTTTCTTTTGCTCTTCTTCACTGGTGATCTTCTGTGCCCGCCTCCAGCCACCGGTGACGATGACGAATGGGACGAAGACTGGGACGACCCCAAGTCTGCCGCTCCCTACTTCAAGGACTCAGAGGCAGCAGAAGCAGGGGCTGCTCAGCGGGGCAGCAGCCGAGCCGGCTCCTCCTCCATGAAGCTGCCACTCAACAAGTAGGTTTGGGGGGCAGGCGGGGGCGCCGAGGTGGCTCAGCCGGTGCTGCGTCTGGCTCTGGCTCAGGTCATGATCTCAGGGTCCTGGGATCGAGTCTCACCCATTTCCCATCTGCCCCTGCTCGTGTGCTCGTCCTCGCTCACTCTCTCAAGTAAATAAATAAAATCTTAAAAAGTGAAATAAAATAAAAAACACAGGGCGCGGGGGAACATGAACACGCAGAAACAGACGGGAGATCCAAAGAGGCTTTCCTCTTTTCAGGGATCTGTGAAGTTTGGGGTGTCGTTTGATCACTTCTGTTTGGCTCTTGGCTCTAGAAGCTGATTGAAAGAATTTTTTTCCATTTGGAAGTGAAGTATTTGTTGTTTAATGATCTTTTACCTTTGTGAACTCCCTGGCACATTGAGGTCTCATTACTGACATCACAGAAAAGCTAAAAAAAAAGAAAAAAAAGTAATAATAATAACAACAACTCTCCTTTCAATGTCTTCCTGTTGGTTGCTCACTTATTGTGGGCCAGACGTTGTGCAGAATGGCTTCTGTGTGCTCTCATGTGACCCTCATACCCCTCTGTGGTCCCCTGTGTTCACTGTGGGAGGAACTGAAGCCCAGAGAGGTTAAGTAAGTGTCAAGGCTTGCACAGGTGGGAAGTGATCTAGTCAGGATCCCCGTCCATCCCTCCATGTCTCAGCTACTGTGCCTCATATGTTGTAAGACTTTGTTTTCACTTAGATTCCTCTACGATTTAAAACAAGAAGAGTTTGGCCAGTACTTGGAGGCACAGTGCCTGACAGGGACGCGTGTGGGAAGGGGTGAGTGTGGACAGAGGACCGTGGGATTCCCCGGGGGCAGTCCTGCATGAGTCTGTAGTTCACACGGTGTAGCTCAGAGGAGACATGCTGTATGACTTCCCTAGAAATTTTCAAATTCCCATCTTACAGCAGCGTGCTTAATAGAGTTTTTCTAAAATCACTACCACTATTTGTCCATGTTCCAAGTCCATGATTCAAAGCAGGAAGGACTGTTAATCTGTGTCTGGGAGCAGTTGTAAACAGAATGCTGCGTACCTGGCTGTCAAGGTCTGTGTCTAGATCTGCAAACGGAAGTTTGAGTCCCACCAGTTCCCCTCAGTACGTTTACGTAGCATCAAATGATTAGATGAGCTGCCCTTTAGCTACACGTTCTTCCTCCTTCTGTATCTGCTTCCTTCCATTAGGTATTTTCATGCTCAGTTGCATGCATAGTAAAATTAGTCATTCATACTGACTCTATCCTGTTTCTTACAGTGGAAGGTGAATTTCTCAGTGTGGTCTGCAGTGATGTAAATAAGCGTAAATGCAAGTGCATTGAAACCCATTGTACTGTAAAGTGTCTCTCAGCCCCATTTTGAAAATGAGGAAGCACAGACTCTGCATCATGTGCATGGTCACGCCTTCCTGGCTACTTAGGGAGGCTCTGGCTCGTGCCCAGACTCCTGCCCCTGCTCTCCCTTGCCACCCCATGCCCTACACTCTCCTGCTGTCCTCTGCTGTATCATCTTGGGGAAATGGGTGACCCAGTTGAGCCTCAGTTTCTGCATCTCTGAATGAAAGGGGCTGGTTTTAATTCAAAACTCTCTCTAATCGAAAATTTCAGTTCAGGGTCAAACGAAATCAGAGGAATCCTAAATTGACCTGGAACCTCTTGAGGTATCCCTCTCTCTCTCTCTCTCTCTCTCGTGCTGAGAGCTGTTTAAAATCCTATGGTCCATTCTTTATTACTATTATTATTTGACTAGACTAATATACAAATAACTCACTTGGAGCAGTCGTAGAAAATTTTTTTAAGTATTAACATTTTTTAGCAGTCAATCCATTTTACATGACAGCCGTAGTCCAGTCATGGAGCATAAACCTTACACTAGAGGAGATGAGAAATTGAAGTGTACTCGAGCATTATAAGAATCCGTTTTGATAGTACTGAAGGAATTAATAAATTGCACCGCCGTCCAGTAAGTATTAAATGAGTTGGCCCTAGAGGTTTGCTGCGACCCCTAAGAACACGGAAGGAAGCGTGGAATGGGACCTCTGCGCTCAGAAGCTTGCAGTCTAGTTGGGGATTTGTCACCCTGCGTAATCCCCACATTTTCCCATTAGTGTTTTCTAGCAGAAGTATAGGTTCTTTAATAAAACTGTTCCAGATTAGTCCATCAAGCATTTCATGTATTCCCATAACTCCTCTAGGTCCCGGAAATACAGATACTTTCTCTAAAGTGCTTCCAGTCTGCTCTACTGTGCAAATGGATTATGGTGATTATACACGATAAATTACAGAGCCAAAGTGTGCTCAGAATGTTGAGGAAGCCCAAAGCCGTACGTGAGGCTCTCGGGGATACTTTCAAAGAGATGATGGCATAACTAGAGATGATTTTAATTTAGGAGTACGTATACTAGGCTCTTCATATAACACCTTCATTTAATTCCCTCGTTCGTTTAATTCCCTTATCCTCTTAAAAGGAAGGTCATATTTGTCCCATTCCTCCCGTGAGGAGGCTGGAGCTCTAAAGGTCACGTAGCTGTTAATTGTTGGAGTTGGAACTCAAACCCAGGACTGTCCAGCTCTGAGACCCCTCTTTGTTCTCTCGTGTATTAGCTCTGTCTAAAGACTGTCTAGGGAAAAGAGGGTAGAGGTAGGTCGTGTGAGGGTGAAGGAAAAGGCAGGCCCCTGAAGCCATCGCATCAGCCTTTAATTTGGGATATGAATGAAAAAGAAGTAGTGTCGCTGGTTTTTTGTAGAAATGATGCTTCTTTTTCTATTGTAGGGATTTTGCTTCCTGAGAGTCTTTTTTTCCTGTTTATTAAAAAAAATACTAAAACCCAAATTATTCTTGTCCTCTTTAGAAGTAGTGCTTTGGATGGCTGTGTGTTTATCCCAGCTTTTCTCTAGTTTTAGAATGTTTGGGGGTCTCTTTACTAAGGGAGAGACTGGTTTCCTTTTGTGTCTCATAAACCAGTTCTGAGACGAGTCTAAAAGAAAATGGCACAAGTGCTTATGAATAGTGATGGTTTCTCTGGGATAATTGTGGCATCCTGGAGCGAGTATGCTGGAAGGTGGCTTTAATTTGGATCTAGAAATGCTGGCGTGTGGCCACTGCTCCGTGTGTTCTAATGGCCGTGCTCAGTGCTTTTCCTCCCGTGCCCCAGGGGACAGTTTTCTAGGCCGCCCTTCACTCTTCGTGGGGCGATAGAGTGTTTCTGATCCAGTTAAGCAAACGGAGCATCCATAAACATCACACCTTCTGGAGTCAGACTGTCCTCTTACCAGATAAAGCTTAATTAAATGACTAATTGGCCATCAAACAATCTGATTACATTAGGTTTCATTTACCAGTTTCCTAGTCCTTGTGCATCTGAGAGGCAGAACAAGGTTAAAACTGTTGCATTAAGTAAAGGTGGACGAGAGTCGTAGAATTCTATAAGGAAAGACGGAGGCTCACGGGCATTTATCTTCATGACCAGATTTCCTGGATTTGCGAAACCTGGAATGGAACAGTATTTGTTGGCCAAGCAGCTAGCAAAACCCAAAGAGAAGATTCCCATCATTGTAAGTTTGTTCATTTTTGTTTGCTTGCTTCGTTTCTAATTAAGCTCTTTTATACTACTTTAAAGCTGAGAGGGTTCTTAGTCTTCTGGAGGGTTTTGGTAACACATTTGATGACATGTATTCGTGTTGTAAGAGTACTAAAGATAATTAGCATCAAGCAATGCCTGTCATTATATGTAGATATTTTTAAATTTCTATCTCTAAGACTATTAGTAATTGAACTAACCACATCTGTAGTACATAGTCTGTTCATAATTTTTCTTCTCTGACGCATCTTGATGTCATCTTTTACATTCTGTCTTCCTACTGACTCTGTGTATTTAGTAAACCCAATTCAAATATTTAGGTTTCTGTCCTGGCAAAGTATGTGTATATTATCCAAATAAGATGCCCTTCCCACTGCGCTGGTAATAATTAGTCTTTCCTCCAGTAAACCAGCTGTCAGGTCACAGGAAGGAGCAAGCAAATAAAGGCTAGAAGTTAGTGACACCGTAAAGAATCTCTCTCTTGGAATAACTTGATTATTACATACTATGACACATGCTCTCTGGGTTCACCCAAATGTTAATTGCTGATAGATTTTCGTTCTAAGCATTATCTAGTGCTGTATTTCCAGATGAATTCTGGAGAAGAGAACTCTGGCTGTCTTTGGACCCTAACGACTTAACCCAGTAACTATAGGGTGGGGGCGGGGTTGAGTGTAATCACCACAGGCCCAAACAAGGAGGAAGAAACAGCTGGTCTTACTCTATAACCTCTGGGTCCTAGGAAATTTGATAAAATGCAAAAATCACACTGGATTTTTTTTATTATTACTTGTTCCTACATCTTTGAAAAGATTGGAATTTTTTTTTTAAACTAGCCCTTCATCACATAGAACTAGACAACTGGACTAGAGAGGGAGAAATTGTGTTCTGTCCTGCACTACCATGGAGGAGAGGGAAACAGAGCTCTCTTCTCCATGGCCTGAGATGTCCACATGGAGAGCTAGCAAGTGTGTCTCTAAATATAACATTATTAGGAACAGGGGTGCCTGGGTGGCTCAGTGGTTAAAGCCTCTGCCTTCGGCTCAGGTCATGATCTCAGGGTCCTGGGATCGAGTCCCGCATCGGGCTCTCTGCTCGGCAGAGAGCCTGCCTCCTCCTCCTCTCTCTCTCTGCCTACTTGTGATCTGTCAAATAAAAAAAATTAATTATTAATTAATTTAAAAAAAAACATTATTAGGAACAGAGAGCATTCATAGAATTTTTCAAAGAGCAAGAATGACCGTCCAAAGGACTTGTAGTCCTAACAAGAATCATTTGATGATTTATATCAAACATATTATTTTTCCATATAACAAAATTAACTCTCCCTGAAACGTTTTTGTAGGTTGGAGATTATGGCCCAATGTGGGTCTATCCTACCTCTACATTTGACTGTGTGGTAGCAGATCCCAGGAAAGGCTCCAAAATGTACGGTCTGAAAAGCTACATTGAATATCAGTTAACACCTACTGTGAGTATCTCAGTTACCAAAAACAGACTCATGCTTGCATTCCTAGCAAAAATGTGCTTTTTCTTCATTTTCCGTAGTTGGCATTGGTAACGTTTTCTTCTCTTTCCCTTGTATTATAGAACACTAATCGATCTGTAAACCACAGGTATAAGCACTTTGACTGGTTATATGAACGTCTCCTGGTTAAGTTTGGGTCAGCCATTCCAATCCCGTCTCTTCCAGATAAGCAAGTCACAGGTGAGTGCGCATGACACTCAGGATGACAAGTAACGAGACAGTGGGTAGAGCATCTGTCCTAATGTAAATCAGTAATGAATTTTCATCTTCTGGAAGAATAAGACATGTGAGTTTGGAAAATACTGTACATCCGTATATACTGTATATAGTATATACACCTAAAATACTGTGCGTCCGTATATACTACGTATAGTATATACACCTCACGAGAATGTTTCATAAAATTTTCTGTCCGAGTTCTTGTATATGTATCTTAAGTTCTAGCGATGTCATTGTGTCATCCTTGCTACACGATGTCCTGTGAAAGAAATATGTGAATTCTTTAAATATGAAAAATGACACCTGGGAAAATAGAAACGATCCAAATAGTCTGAAAGGGAAGTAAAAACGTCTGATCCAAATGATGCTGTGCGGTCCGGCCATGTTGCTCTCATTGGCAGTAGGGACGCGTCCGGTGCAGGAGCTGCAGAGCTTCCAGGCATTAACGTAAGAAGTTGCCAGGTTTTCCGCTCAAGTATTCTGGCAACTATTCGTATCTAAGTGTTTTTGTTTCTCATTGATTATGACTCTGTCATAATCGTATCTAAGTGTTTTGTTTCTCATTGATTATGACTCCGTCCCTTTTCTTATTTATTTAAAGTGTCCTGTGTCCCTTGCTCCCCCTGCCTCACGTGATCCTCTGTGGATAATTCACAGCCCCTGTTATCACACAGAGTATTTGTTCCTGTCTGCTTTGAGAAGTGTCGCGGGTTTGTTTTTTTTTTTAACCTCCAGCCTTGTACAGCACCTGGAATATCCGTACTCAGGACTCAGTATGTTTGTCTTGGAATTAATACGGAAAGAAGCTGAGCTTTACTGGAGATGAGGAAGAGTTTTAACATGGGGCTAGAAGATTTGCAGCTAAATGAAACTAATAGGTATAGAGGGTCAAGGCCTAAAAGGTCCGCGCTGGAGGGGTCTCGAAGGAAGAGCGACCTCGCAGGGCTGACCCAAGCCCAGAGGGGGGAACGTGTGGAGTCCGTGAAGGAAGGCTTCTTTCCTGGGGCTCAGGGAGGACAGAGCAGGCTGAGTCCTCACTCAGCGGGAGCTGAGGTGGTCGTTGGAGAGCAAGTCCGGCAGCCGATGGCCGAGCCAGCTCCAGATGCTTCCAGGGTCATGGAGACAGGTATTCCCTAAGCACTGCTGGTCCATATCTCACGGCCGAGCCGGTCAGCAGGCTCTGCTCCACACTGCGCAAACAGGACCTGGAATCTGATGCCAGAGCTTGAACGAGTTCCCTAGGGATAAGAACGCCAGTCTCCTTAAAACTTTACTTTGTGCTTTACTTTGGTGTATGTTTAGGTTTCTCTGAAATTTTTTGAAGTTTTATTTTTACAGAAGTTGTTTTGGTTGTGATTTTTTTTTTTTTTTTTTTGGGAAAACTTGTCAAAAATTCCAAACTTTGCGGAGCCAAGTGGGGCTGCCTTGCCCAGTGGCTGACACGGCCTGGCCGTCACCTGGGGCGGCTCCCTGTGTCCCTCGTGGAGCCAGGGCGGTCGGGGTGACATAGATGGGTCACTGCTTCCTTCTATCCCAGGCACTCACGGTTCCTATACTCACTGTCCCTCCTTACTGTTCGACATCACAGCTTTCCTTTTGCAAATATAAGTTGATTTCCATGAAGACTTCAGTCCTGCCTTTCTCCTTCTTTTCAAATTTCAGTCCATTCTCCTGAATTGTACATTCTCCTCTATCAGCTTGATGAGCATAATATGTGCTTCGTGGTGTCCAGGTAAACAGACTAATGAGCTGCTTGAGGGTTGTAGGGATTTCTTTTGTCTTTTAGGCTTTAATACATTGTTTATTCTGGATCAAGATAACTCAGTGCTATTTTAAAACATCGTAGAGTCACAGTTCTCCCCCCATACGAAGGTTTAGTGTTTTTTTTTTTTTTTTTTTTCAAGTGCAGGCCTGAAGCCAGGGGGGTATCACAGAAAAGCGAGGAAGCAACAGCCGCTCAGTGTGAAGAAAGTTGAGCTTTGATTCACTGACTGGGATATGTGCCGAGGAAACCGAAAAGCACAGAAGCCACTTTATTTCTCCCTTCTCTCGTTTGCCTCCTGCCTGTGGTCCCCACAAGATCGTTATTATATAAACTCGCCTCTCACTCACATCCTGGAGAAAAGAGAAAGGAATGCCAAGTAGATGATGTCATGATATTTCTGTGGACTTGATAATCAATCCATGAGAAACTCCCAGCTAGTGTTTTTTATTTGTTGATAGATTTTATTCTTTGTGAAATCGTATTGAATGAATCTGGTTTTATTCCTGGGTGCAAACTGGTATACTCACATATTTGGTGAAAACCTAAGATTAGTTGGGGAATCAGAAATCCCTCTCTTCTCCCGACCTTCTTTCTAGTTCTCTGGAACCTGATAGGAAAATCCTAACGAGCACAAAATAACTATCTGAAGTCAGAGTTTGGAAACAAACCAACAATGTCAGAAAATTTTTCAGGAATACTAAGCATCATCAATTAATTAGTAAATTTCAGTTGATGAGTAGGTTATAAACTCTTCACTTTCTTTGAAATGGAGAATTGAATATAACCCAGGTTCGTGCTGACTTACTGGGTCTTGTCTGCCCAGTAGGTGGGTCATCTTCTTTCCGAGGGGGTGAAACTTTGCTTCTTCATAGTTTAATCTTCTGTAGACTTGATTTCTACCTCCAGGAAATGCAGAAATTGAAGTGTTTGAATATACAGGAGTGACCAGACTCAGCATGCTGTTCATGTGATGCCTTTTATGTAATGAGTTTTCTCTGTGTGGATCTGTAGTGCTCTTCTCTCTAAAAGAAATCTGTGCTTACTTGTACTTGTAATTTCTAAAGGAAATACCAAATTTAAAAATTCGTAAACTTCTATAGAGTAAATGACTCCTTTTGGTGTATAGTGTTGAGTTTTGACAACTACCACTATTCTTAACACCCATCACTTTATGCAGCCATCACTCCCCCAAATTCCCTCAAGCTGCCCCTTTATATTCAGCCCCTCCCCCTAGATCTAACCCGTGATGTGCTTTTCGTCTCTGTAATTTGCCTTTTCCAGAATATTATTATAAATCCAAGCATATAGACCTACCTCAGGAAGCCAGAAAAAATCTCAAACAACCTAACCTTACACCTAATGAGCTAGAAAAGAAAAGAACAAAGCCCAAAACCAGTAGAAAAAAGAAAATAATACAGAGCAGAAATAAATGAAATAGAAACTTAAAAAAAAAAAAAAAACAATAGAACATATCGATGAAACTGGACCCTGGTTCCAAGAAAAAAAAACAAAAACAAAAGGAAAATGGCAGCATCCAGTGTGTATTGTTCTGGTGGTGGCTTCTTTGAGTTGGCATCATGCCTTTGAGATTCACGCATCTTGTGTGTATCTGTTTATCCATTCACTCACTGGAAGACATTTGGGTTTCCAGTTTGGGGCATTTATAAACAAAGCTGCTAGAAGCACTTACATACAAGTTTTTGTATGAACGTAAGTTACCATTTCTCTTGGGCGAATACCTAGGGTAGAATGACAGGGTCATTTGGCAAGGATATGGTTCATGTTTAAGAAATTGCCAGACTGTCTTCCAGAGTGGCTCTACCATCTTAGAACCCACCAGCAGTGGGTGAGAGTTTCGGAGGCTCCATATCCTAACTTGCACTTTTCGATAGTGTTAGTTTTTCTCTTTTCTAACAAGTCTGTTAGATACGTAGTAGTACCTCATCATTGTTTTAATTTGCCTTTCCCTTGTAACTAACGGTACTGAACATCTTTTCATGTGCTCTTTTCCCTTCCATTTTTCTCTGGTGAAGTATCTGTTTAAATCTTTTGCCCATTTCTCTTTAGGTTGTTTTCTTATTATTAAATTTTGAGAAATCTTTATATTCTGGAAACAAGTCCTCTGTCATGTAATGTGATTTGCAAATAATTTTTCTGGTCTTGTCTTTCTCACAACAGTGTCTTTTGCATAACAAAAGCTTTTTATTTAAATGAAGTTCAAAGTACCAGTTGTTTCTTTTACGGATTGTGTTTCAGGTGTCAGGATGTAAACCTCTTTCCTAACCCAAGTTCCTGGTAATATTTTCTCCAGAGAGTTTTGTAGTTTTGGATACGTTTTGAGTGAGTGAGTGTGTGAGATGTGAAGTATCCTAAGGCAGAGGTTTATGTCACGCATTGGGTTATCCAGTAGTTCTAGCACTCTCTGTTGGAGAGAGTATTCTGTCTCTGTTGAATTTCCTTTGCATTTTGTCAGAAATCAATTGAACATTTGTGTGGTTTTATTTCTGGACTGTATTCTGTTTTATTGATTTATGTGTCCATCCTTATGCCAATACCACACTGTCTTGATTAGTAAATCTTTAAATCAGGTGGTGTAAATGCTCCAGCTTGGTTCTTTTTCAAAATAATTTTGGACTGTTTTTTCATCTGCCTTTCCATATAAATTTGAGTCAATTTGTAGATATCTATATATCTCTATTTGACGGGTGTATGTACAGTTTGTGACTGTTATGATCTTCCTGATGTAGTAACTCTTCTGTAATTATGAAATGCATCCTTTTGTCTCTAGTAAAATTTCCTGTCTTAAAATCTATTTTGTCTGGTATTTATTAATATAATCACTCTGGTTCTGTTACAGTTACTGTGTGCAAGTATCTTTTCCCATCTTTTACTTTCAGTCTGTTAGTGTCTTTGAGTCTGTGTCTCTTGTTGACGACATTGTTGGAGCTTTCTTTTTTCTCAAGTCTGGCAACCTCTACATTTTGATTAGAATTTTTGGGCCATTCATATTTAATGATTATTGGCCCATTTAGACTTATATTTGCCATTTTGATATTTTCTGTGTGTCTTACGTATTCCTCTGGTCTTCTTTACTGGCTTTATTTTGTGTTAAATATTTTCTAATGTGCTGTTCTAATTCCTCTAATTTTTCCACTAAATTTTTAAAATTATTTTCTTAGCAGTTGCCTCAGTGGATGCAATACGCATCTTTCTGGAATGTCACAGTGCAGTTCATATTCATATTCTATTCTAGTAAAATTCATAGAAACTTCTCTCCAGTATAGCTCTGTTTCCCTCTCTTTTTATGCTCTTATCATTGTATATTTTATATCAATATGTTATAAATTGAACAATATGGTGTGATAATTTCTGCTTTCTACAGTCTTGTGTCTTTTAAAGAAGTTAAGAGAAGAAACTAGAAAAAATGCATCTCTTATGTTAATTGACATATTTCTGGTGCTCTTCATTTCTCTCTGTGAATTTGGGTAATTTCCTTTTAGCCTGAGGTAGTATTTTTTTAGCCTGAAGGGCTTCCTGTAATATTTCTTTAACACAGGTCTGCTATGGGTTAATTCTTGCATCTTTGTTTATCTGGGGATGTCTTTGTTTTGCCTTTATTTTGGAAGTGTAGGTGTACTGGTTGTAGAATTCATGGCTGACAGTTTTCCTTTCAGCATGATGAATTTGTCTTTCCCCTGCTTCTGACCTCCATGGTGTCAGTCAGATGACTACTGACAGATTTCTGCTGACCACACACACACACACACCATACATCATGAGGCATTTTTCATTCGTTTCTGCCAAGATTTTGTTTCTGCCTTTCAGCAGTTTGATTCTGCTGTATCTTGGTGTGGTTATCTTCATATTCATCCTATCCAGGTTTGTTGAGCTTCTTAGAAGTACAGGTTAAAGTCTTCCATCAAATTTGGGAAACTTTCCCCTGTTATTTCTTCAGATATTTTTTCTTCTTCTTTCTCACTTCTCCTTTGGGGATTTCCATTACCACTACCTTGGTGTGCTTTATGTTTTCTTCTTTTTTTTTTTTTTAATTTTATTTATTTATTTGACAGACAGAGATCACAAGTAGGCAGAGACAGGCAGAGACAGAGGGGGAGGTAGGCTCCCTGCTGAGCATAGAGCCCAATGCGGGACTTGATCCCAGGACCGTGAGATCATGACCTGAGCAGAAGGCAGAGGCTTAACCCACTGAGCCACCCAGGCGCCCTGCTTTATGTTTTCTGAGGCCTGTTCATTGTGCTTCCTTTTTTGTTTTTGTTTCTGTTTCCTCTCTGTTCTTCAGACTAGGTAACTTCTATTGATCTGCAGATTCCCACATTCTTTCTTCTGTCATCTTGAATCTGCATTTGAGCCCCTAGAGTGATTTCTTAATTTCAGTTATTGTATTTTCAACTCCCCAACTTTTCATTTTAATTTTTTATAAGTTCTTTTTCCTGAGAATCTTTGTTGTGATTTTATGTCCTATGTCTCTTTGCATTTTTTTTTTTTTTTAAAGGCTCCTTGCTTGAGCAGAGAGCCCGATGCAGGGCTTGATCCCAGGACCCTGAGATCATGACCTGAGCTGAAGGCAGAGGCTTTAACCCAGAGCCACCCAGGCACCCCCTCTTTACATTTTTAACATGACTTCCTTTAGTTCTTTGAGTGTATTTCTAGAAGCTGCTTTGTCTACTAAATTCAACATCCAGAGGCATTTAGAGACAGTTTCTGTTGACTACATTTTTGTCGGTACGGGTCATGCCTTGCTGGTTCTTTGCACATCTCTTAATATTTTGTTGAAAACGGAACAGTTCAGAGAATATATTTTAGCAGTTCTCGATTCTGATTTTTCCTCTCTGAAGGTTATTGTTTCTACTTTATGTTTATTGGTTTATTTGGTAAGTAACTTGCTCAGGCTAAGTCTCTGAAATCTCTCTTCCCTGAAGTTCAATGATTTTTGTGTTTTTTTCTGTAAGTTTGGCTTCCTGGGGTTCACCCTTGTGTCTTTGTAGATTAGTGGTCAGCCTGCCTCAAGCCACTAAGGCTTCTGTCCTCTACTGATGGATCTCCGTGTGGGTAGGAGACTGCATTCAGAGCTCAGATAATTTTCAAGTTGGCTGTCCTGGCTTTCACTTTTTTGTGGGCCTTCTTGTGTCTCCTTTACAAGTGTGTGCAGCCTACAGCGTTGGCCAGGAGTGTGTGGCTGGCTTGGATCCCATCCGGCCTGCACTGTTTATGCACACAGCCTCAGCCTGGAATATGGTTGGCCCAACTGTGCAACCTTGGCTAGTGGAGTCACTGGCCCCTTCCGTTCACTGGCCTCTGGATTGTCCCCGCCACCACCACTGAGCACGGGCATGTCCCCCCACTCCACATCAGGCCAGCCTCTCACCTCACCAGGGGACCTGCCGTAGCCGGTCTTCATGGCCTGCCTTTACTGGCAGACCTTCCATGTCCACTGAGGAGAGGGTGGGGAGGCCCAGGGGCAGCCGGAGGGAGATAGTAGCCACCCCACTCCAGAGTGCCACAGATTTCCACGCTTCTTGCGTAAAGTTCAGCAGATTTGCAAATAAAACACTTCTCAGATGGCTCTTGGCCTTTGGTTGATTTCCAGAACACTTACTTTTGGTGGGTTCTCTCCAGCTTTAGAATTGTTTTAGGGGGATGGGAATATCTGATTGCCTTGCTCTATTATCGCTAGCCTTTTACCTAATAGTGGTTTTGTTTGGGAGGTTTATAAATACGTTCAGTGTTCACACGATGACTGCTATGACAGGCTTGTTAAGCTGACTTTCTGCTCTTAAAACAGAAATATCACTCATTAAGGTATGTTTTAGAATGGTCATAAGTTCTGAGATGGTAGATGGTAGCTTGCACTACTGCATTCATGAAAAATGTCTTTTTCTGTTTTTGGCTTAAGTAATTTAAAAAAAAAAAAAAACAGAATAAAGAGCTACAGTCCTGAGTTACTTTTCACAAATACTAATTTAAGTTTGTGTATCTGAGATTATATTGTATTGGGACATATTTTTATAAATACAGAAATTTTATGCCCTTTGTAAGAATTACTTATTAAATTCCGTTTTCTAACCCCCTTTCCCGCCAATAGAGCTTCATGTGGTCACACAGAACTGAGATCATCTTCATTTATCAGACAAAGTTTTTCATACCTAGATAAGATTTGCTTTTGAATTTGAGTACTTATGGATCTTTGAAGAAAATCACACTTTGTGGCTGTGATTTTTCTTGTCACAATTAAAAAGTTTCTTAATTTGGGGGCACCTGGGTGGCTCAGTGGGTTAAAGCCTCTGCCTTCAGCTCAGGTCATGATCCCAGGGTCCTGGGATCGAGCCCCACGTCGGGCTCTCTGCTCCGCAGGGAGCCTGCTTCCTCCTCTCTCTCTCTCTCTGCCTGCCTCTCTGCCTACTTGTGATCTCTGTCTGTCAAATAAATAAATAAAATCTTTAAAAAAAAAAGTTTCTTAATTTGTTAAATCAGAATCTCATTCTTAAAAGCTAAAATGTCTGTCACACCTTTCCCATGTCTCTCTGAGCATTTGCTGTATTACAGCTTGTTTTTAGGTTAGTGAAAAATTGCCATGGTCTTTACCTGTTACTACCTTACTTTCTACCAAGTACCCAGTAGATACAAATGGCTTTTCCTTTGCGTGACAGTAATTTGCTTTACAGCGTGCTCCAAGTCACTCTTGCTGTTTCCCTTCCAGGTCGCTTCGAAGAAGAGTTCATCAAAATGCGCATGGAGAGGCTCCAGGCGTGGATGACCAGGATGTGTCGGCACCCAGTGATCTCAGAAAGCGAGCTTTTCCAGCAGTTTCTAAATTTCCGAGATGAAAAGGTAGGCCTTGTTCTTATGATAGTCTTCGGTCATATTCAGAATCGTCACGTTCACATCAGTTTTATGTCTGAAAGTTAAAACTATGTCGGTTAGCTATTTCTCATTTCCTCCAAAGATAAGAGGGGACCGAAACCTTAGTCCTCACTGTGGGAAGTTAGTCACACTATGAGGAAGAATGCTTGCCTGAGTGGTTTCCCTAAACTGGGAATGGCCCAGAGTGGGCAGGAGGTGAAAGATATGATAGGGTGAGGAATTTTTTCCCTAGATGCTTCTAAAAATAGGAGAGGCCCCAAACTATGCAGGATATTATCCACATAAAGTGAGGGAGATAGAGTGAATGATTCCTTAAGATCGTGTTTTGACCTCGCAGTGTAATAATGTCATGAAACAAAAGGTTCAGAAGTGGACCATCCTTCTCAAAACTGAATCATTTTTCCAAAACTGTAGTTGCCCGTTCAGAGTAAATAATGCTGCTCTTTGTCCCCGTGGATACTCATTCTGCCGATGGCTGTGTGTTCTTTGTTGAGAATCAAGAAAACATTGGCTGTTTGACATCTCATTATTGTCTGCTTTAGAGATAGTTTTTTCTCTCTCAATAAGCTTTTACTCTATAGTCTTTTTATTCTGTAGAGATGTTTTCTCTGTATTTCTCTCATAACAAATATCACATATCTTAGAAAACAATGCAAAGAGTGAAAATGTAAGTTAGCTCAGATGCTAACAGCAGATACAAAATACATTACAATCCTAAGGAAAAAAGTCATGAGATTAGTTTCATGTTTAACCAAATACCAAAATATTATATACTTTGTTGGAACTTTCAGACAGAGATTTACTTGCTAAACTGCTTTGTAGTTCCTTACCCTTGTTCATGTGAACACATTTATGTGTTAGGTGTAATAAGGGCTCTGTGTGTGTTTACAGACGTAGGCACACACGTAACATAGTATGACTAATCGGGCCTCATCTTCAGTTGCTGCTGATTTTTAGACTCGGCAGGCTCACTCGAGTGGGTTGCATGTAACCAGGCCAGGAGCTGGGAAACGTGGAGGTGCTTCGTCCTTTCTTGTCTAGTCATAGCTCTAGCCTTGCAAGGGGCCCAGGAAAACTGATTTCTCTGGTGAGCTGTCATGGTCAGTCACAGTATTCCCTATAACCACAGAGTAGTGAAACCGGGTTCTTCAAGGGAGTTCTGTCAATCTGTTTTGTTACTTTGTAGACACAAAAACTCCATGCAGTCCCCTCCCAAGTTTATTGTTTATTGCCTTGAACAAAAGTCCTGGTTTTCTGAAGATTTGATTCAGAAAGCACTTCTGAAAGTTGTGTTTTGTACAAAATATTATTATTAAAAATAATACATCTAGGGTGCCTGGGTGGCTCAGTTGGTTAGGCGACTGCCTTCAGCTCAGGTCATACCTGGATCGAATCCCACATTGGGCTCCCTGCCCAGCAGGGAGTCTGCTTCTCCCACTGACCTCTCCTTTCTCATGCTCTCTCTCTCTCTCTCTCATAAATAAATAAGAAATATATTTTTTAAAATAATAATAGTAATACATCTAGACACTGGGGTTTTGGGTGGATTTGATAGAATAGGAAAAAGAAAGAACTTGGAGTCAGGACTCTGCTTCTAGCTCCTTCTGTGATCTTGGCCATGGCACTGAATCCCTGGTCACAGTTTCCTCATCTGCTAAATGACTGTGTAAAACTAGATAATCACTAAAAACTGTGACTCTTTGGCCAGAAGTAGCTTGTATAGATGGATGGATAGTAATTTTTCTGTTACTAGAAATAAATACTTAGTAAGATAGCTGGATGGAAGACATTACATATTTACATAGCCGCAATAAATGAAAATAAAATGAAAGTCTGAAAACTGTCACAGCATAAAAATGTACCTAGGAATAAGTATAAGAAAATGTACAGAGAAACGCTACATAAAAAACTATGAAACATTTTTGAGAGAAATAAAACCTAGCTAAGTGTGCCCGTACTGTTTCATGGATTGAGGAACAGAAAAGATGTTATATATGTGTGACAAATCAAAGCACTAAAAATAGCCAAGGTACTCTTGAAAAAGAATGAAGGGGGAGGGAGGAGGCCTTTTCTAGTTATGAAGACTCAATACAAAGCTGAACTAATGGTAAAGGCATTGTATTGGCATGAGGGTAGACTAACAGACCAGTGCAACAGAATAGAATGGACACTTGATTTATGGCAAAGATGGGGCTAAGTACAAGGGGGATAGGACAGCCTGTCCAGGGAATGATGCCAGGTCAGCTGGATGGCGTCATTGAGGAAGAGTGAAATTCAGTCCCTACCTCATAATGATCTTCTGTTGATTTTGTTAGGGTTGACCCTGGAATTGTGGTTCTGTTGCTAAAACATGGCCTTATCTATGAAAGGTACTTACATGTGAAATGATACAATGTCTGGGACCTCCAGTAAAATCTGGAAGTTCCAATAAAAAAATAAAATCCACAAGAAGAAAATAAAAGGTAGAATGGAGGAGAATAGAAAACCCAGGACCGGCAAAATGTTGATACCTGTGACAGCTGAGTCTGGGCAAGATTAGACTTTTCTCTGTACTTTTAAATGTCTTTGAATGTTTCCATTGTATAACTTTAAAAAAAAAAAAAAAAAAGATCTGTTCCAGTTGGTTTGAAGGTCTAATGTGAAAGGCAGCATAATAAAGCTGTGAAAAGGTAGCACGGGGTGTGGGGGGATATCTTCATGCCCCTAAGGTAGGGAAGGATTTCTGAAATCTGACACAGAAATGACTAGTCACACGGGAAGGAAGAGTCTGATAAATTAGACTACATTCAGATGAAGAACCACTGTGTGTCAGAAGACTTTAAAGCTAAAAACGAGCTAAAGATCTGAACTTCTATCACCAACAAGGGGCTGTGTTTTTGAACATCATAAAACCCATACAAATCCATAAGATAAGCCAGTAGAAGAAGAGCTTTGGTAAGGTACATTTCGTAAAAGAAAGGGTCTGGGTCATCCACAAAGGTAGGAAACGGCTTAACCTCCTCAGTCATCACGCACAGGCAAGGTAAAACCTACAGTGAAAAGCCCCTGGGCCTCAGCCGGGATGGCGGACGTGAGAAAGAGTGAGAGACCAAGCTCCTGGTGGGCTGAGCGGCTTTCCCACAGTGCTGGCAGGCGTGCAAGTGGGCAAGACCAGTTCAGAAAAGTGGAATGTTTTCCACCCACCTGGCAAATGGGTGCACATGTGTCCCAGGAGACCTGGAATAGCTGCTGTGCTCGTCACATGGGGGGCCCGGGGTGGGGGGGTCCCAGTAGGAGGATGGATAAATAAACTGGGGAGTGTGCCCAGAATGGAGCATCGTGCCCCAGTGGCGTCCAGAGACAGCGCTCTGACAGCACTGTGGTCCTGACTCCTAAGCACAGCCTGAGCCCAAGACACCCAAGAACACCCCCAGAGTGGTCTTCAGAAAAACCAGCAGACCCAGATGAGGGACGTGCACTTAGATCATGCGACTTGGAAGGAACGTGAGGAACTGGGCGGCATTAAAGAGAAAATAACTGGTCACCTCAGTGCAGGAAGGAAGGGATGGTGATTGGGAAGGGACACGAGGGGGCTTCTGGAATGCTCGCTTTTTTCTTTTGGCCTTGGGGTAGTTTACACACATACTCACTTTGTGAGAATTGGTTGCTATGCACTAATGTTTGGGGCACTTTTTTTTTTTAAGATTTTATTTATTTATTTGACAGACAGAGATCACAAGTAGGCAGAGAGGCAGGCAGAGAGAGAGGAGGAAGCAGGCTCCCCACCAAGCAGAGAGCCCAATGCCAGGTTTAATCTCAGGACCCTGGGATCATGACCTGAGCTGAAGGCAGAGGCCCAACCCACTGACCCACCCAGGCACCCCCCCCTTTTTTTTTAAAGATTTTATTTGGGGGCACTTTTCTATGTATATATAGAGCTATATATTTATAGGTGTATCTTGCAAAAATAGTTTTTTTTTTTTAAATAGCTTATGCTATTGGTTCCTATCTTGTGTTTTAGAAGTTTTTGTCTTTTTCAGAAAACATTTAACCTGCAACTTTGAGGCCCTCCTTCAGGATTTGTAGGGATGCTCGTGTTCACTGTGTTCCAGTGCTGTGCAAGGGAGAGAAAGTGCTGGATCTCCAGCTCACCAGGACCCCTCGCACCTCGGCACTGTTCGCGTACCGAGATGGCATTTGGGACGTACAGATGTCCCACGGTACAGAGGACAGTGGCGTGGAGCTGCTGCTGAAAATTAGAGCCAGTCCGTCAGCAAGCTGATTGCCTGAGGGAGTTGAAAGACCAGTTTGACTCCGCTCTCCACTGTGACATTATAATGTTCTTCTTTGCAGGAATGGAAAAGTGGGAAGAGGAAGGCCGAGAGAGATGAGCTGGTGGGAGTTATGATATTTTCCACCATGGAACCAGAGGCGCCCGACTTGGACTTAATAGAAATGTGAGCGCTGTTGTCATACTTGCCTTCTTCCCAGCCCGGGCCCCTCCTGTGCGCGCAGGCCTCCGCAGGTGTGACCGAGGGCAGCTGGAGTGAGGGGTGTGTCTGTGGGAGCGTGTGGGGACCGCAGTCAGGTGACCGGGAAAACCTCCCTTGCACAGGAAAGCACGGTGTTTTTAGCTGTAGCATCAGATTAAAATCTGCTTCCTTTTTACCTTGAAGTCTGTGGTTTCCTAGCAGACAACAGTGTTTCTAGTCATTTCTAATAAAGCATGATAAAGCAAAGTAGCCCAGAGCCAGCGCACACCCACGTAATTGTGAACAAAGCAGAAGTCTCTGAACATCACCTTGAAAGAAGCAAATGTCAGCCTGCTTTTATGTGCTTTTTTTCAATTTGTTGTTTTTAATTATGTAATTAAAAAATAATTTTAAATTAAAAAATTTTTTAATTAAATTTTTAAAAAAATTTATTTTTCTTTGAAAAGTAGTTCCTTTTCTATGTAAAGGCTAACAAGAAATCTTGGGTTTGTTTTTTAAGAAGTTTTTTTCTTATACAATTAACACTTATGTGTTACCAAACGTAAGAAGAGAAGAAAAAAGGAAAACAAACACCATCTTGCAACTGTGCAGAGAGAAAAATAAATGTTAATATATTGGCCTGGTTCTGTAGTCTTCTGAAATGTCGTCTGCACATACGTATCTAAGGGAAAAATTGTGGAAACAGGAAAGACCTCACACTGTGCATTCTGTCGTAAAATCTGTTTGGGGTTTCTTTTTGTTTTTGTTTTTGTTTTTCCATTTAACATGATTTGGGGATGAGTTTTTCAGGTTAGTCCTTTTTACATCTTCAAAGAACTGAGATGTTCAGTGTCACTGACCTGGTGGTATTGAGGTTACCTGCAATTCACTAACATACTTGCTGGAACGCATGAAGACCCACTCAGTACCACCACTGATAGAATTCCGCTCAATCAGATAGTCGGGATATCAGTATTTGGTGTACTTTAGAATAATTTTAGTTTAAATTCACATGGATTTGAGGGGGGGAGGGGAACAGTTAAAATTTAAATGGCAGATTTTTAAGCAATTCTTCAAAAATATGTTGGGTTTTTTTTTTTTAAGATTTTATTTATTAGAGAGTGTGAACATGACTGGGAGAGAAGGGTAGAGGAAGAGGGAGAAGCAGACCTCCCACTAAGCGGGGAGCCCAATGAGGGGCTCGATCCCAGGACCCAGACATCATGACCCGAGCAGAAGGCAGATGCTTAACCGACTGAGCCACCCAGGCGCCCCTTTTTTAAAAAATTTGAATCAAGCCTGGTTTAAGAGGAGTTATTACAATGCAAGAAAACAAGTCCCCCCATATCAGGTTTAGCATTAAATCTCCCCTGACTGTATTGGTTTTTCTCTTCCTACACGTCACACTGTTTGACCATTTGGTAGCAGAGTGAAGGACATGCGTTCTTGTGTTTTTGCCCCACAGAGAACAGAAGTGCGATGCCGTCGGTAAATTCACTAAAGCCATGGACGACGGCGTGAAGGAGCTGCTGACCGTGGGGCAGGAGCACTGGAAACGGTGCACAGGACGTAAGTGCCGTCCTCGGGCCAGCTCGGGGCTACGGGCTCCATGTGTGATGGTCCGAGCTCGATGTTGTGACCTTGACCGCACTGAGGAGCCGTCTCTCCGAGATGCCTGTGGTGAACGCAAGTCAGGTCATAGCCATAGCCTGGGGGCGAACCTCACTTGTCAGCCCTCCTTAGACAGCAGAGAATTGTCTCCAGCAAAGCCCGTTCTAGAACCCGTATGAAACACCATGTTGCCTTAAACGTTTCTAGTTAGTTGGGGTTTGTAACCTATGGGCGATTCATCTTTCTGCGTGTTTTGAGAGTGTTTGTTGTTTGTACTCTCAGGACAGTACTGTGTAGTCTTTACTCGGTAAGGTGTTGTATACAGACTTCCCGAGCTTACGCGGGGTCTGCAGCCCGGTAAGCCCATCCTAAGTGGAAAACAGCCCAAGTCGAAAATGCACTCAATATGCCTGATCTCGCACACGCTGGGGCTCAGCCTGGCCCCCCTTCACTGTGTTTGGGACACTCGGAAGGTCAGCCTGCACGTGGGCAAAGTCATCTCGCACGAAGCCTGTTTTATAGTCCGGAGTCGAGCATGTCCTGTACTGAAAGTGGGGCACAGGACGGCTGTCTGGGTGCAGGACGGTCTCCAGCTGGTGGGGCTGCCGCGGCCCTGCATCGCGGAGAGGGTCCTCCCGCAGATCACCAGCGCTAGGCAGGAACCAGATTCTGAATTCCAAGTACAATTTCCCGTGAGTGCACGTTCTGATCTCGCACACCGTTATAAAGTCTATAAATTGCTAAGTCAGGGGCCATCTGGATTGGCTACGGCCCTAATTTTTTTTAAAGAATTTATTTATTTGACAGAGTGCGAGCACAAGCAGGGGGAGCAGCAGGCAGAGCAAGAGGGGGAAGCAGACTCCCCACTGAGTAGGGAGCCTGACGCAGGGCTCGATCAAGACCCTGGGATCATGACCTGAACTGCCTGAGCCACCCAGGCAACCACTACAACCTAATTTTTAGGGAAGGCTGGGGTTGTTGGCTGTGGAGAGCATGAGCTGGGTCAGGCTAGGAAAGTGTGAACCCCAATGGCTCCGCCAGTCATGCCTTTCCACCCTCGAGGACTTCTTATCCTGACCCCCAGCCTGCCACACCCCCCTTCCCTTTGTGTCTAGACCATCACTCTGCTGACCCATGGTGTCCCACATTCTCCAGCCCCTCATGTCACATAGCGTAGGCTGAAAACCGGTCCTGTCAGCCACGGGGGTCACGCCAGCCAGCTGCCCTGCCACCTTGGAGGCCCCACGGGCTCCGGAGGCCGGGTCACCACTGTGTAGCATTCACACTGTCTTCGAGGGCCACTGACTCTCCGGAGTTTCCTCCCCTGTCCTCCCATCCCATCCTTATCACCAGAACAGACATCTGAGTCCCAGAGAGGAAACTGAGCTCTGGTTATGGGGAGGCCAGCAGGCCAACCGTGAGGCCGGTATCTGAGAACATTCTGGCCTTCCACACGGACGCCCTACAAGAATACTGTTTATACTCAGATCTGTTTTGTCTTTCTCTTAAAAATGGCTTCTACTTTGAATAATAAAAATCATACATACCCACTATTAAACCGTGATCCTCAGCAAAGGAAGGAATTTGATTTTATGTTTTGTAAAGATTTTTTAACAAGTGATATTTTTCTTCTAAAGAAGGGGAAAAGAATAAAATTTGAGGTCAGAAAACAATTTCAGTGAACAAGAAGCTGAATGTGGGGTGACTTGTGGCTGAACTAAGATAGCAGAGCACAGTTAATAGTAATAAAATCTAAGCCTTACCAGGAGTTGGCCGACCGCGGCCTGGCGGCCAGATCCGTCCTGCTGCCTGTTTTTGTAAAGTGGAACACAGCCTGGCCCGCCTCCCTACATGCTAGCTGTGTCTCCTTTCCTGTTACAGTGGCCGAGTCGAGTACTTTCAGCAGAAACCTGTGGCCCCAGAGAGCCCAAAATATTTACTGTCTGGCCCTTTGCTGGGGGGAGAAAAGACCCTGCTTCTCACTGCATGACCCTGTGCCATTCACATGAGCCTCAATACCAGGAGAACCGCATGCTGGGGCGGGACAGCTGTTCCCACTCGAGGACGGTGACTCCTTTCTCATGGCGTGGAAATGCGATGCCATGTCCTCGGTGCGCCACTGATTAGGCCCAAAATGGTAAGGTACACAAAGCAGCATTAGAGAAAAAAGCCACCGCCAGCCTGTGGTCACCAAGGGTCAACTCATGAACAAGGGGAGTGGTGCTTCTCTCAAACAGTGATTTTGTTATAAAATAATAAATTTGAGCTGTATGCTCTTATGAGGCCATAATAATAGCTATTCGTTGAAATCTGCATATTCTTTGAATGCCGTGCTCTATTTTTTAGAAATATTTTGAGTATAAATCTTAATCAGAATTTTAAGGATCTCACAGAAATCTGGGCTTATGATTTCTTTCCATCCCTGGGATGCCTGGGTGGCTCATTGGGTTAAGTGTCTGACTCTGCGTATCAGCTCAGGTCCTGATCTCGTGGTCCGGGGTTTGAGCCCTGCGTTGGGTTCCACGTTGAGCATGGAGCCTACTTAAAAAAAAAAAAAAAAAAAAAAAAAGTTAAATCCCTATGTCTGACAACATCCGGTCAGCTTCATGTCCCATCAGTTCAAATTTACGAAATAGAGGATGTTGGCCTAAAGCTGCTCCCTTTTTGGGAGGAGAGGAGTTTGAAGCACTTGGTTTAGGATTTGAGGTAAGCATATCTTCTTTCCCCTTTTCTTTCAAAATAGTTTCTTAAGATTCCTCATCTGTAAAGTGAGAAATCAAACGCGTACAGTGAAGCACATGGCAAATGTCTTTAACCTCACGTATATAGTTAGAAAAAGGCAAACAATTTATTAAAGTTAAGCTAATGGAGTTTAAAATCGTGTCTTCTGATTATTACAACTTAAAGACCATGTTACAGATTTCTCTGAACTAGATTTTTTAAAAGAAACATTTGAATTTTTCTTCTTAATACTGCACTTTAATTCTTCAAATGCAAATAAGGCATTCTGCTGAAAAGCAGTAGATGTGTTTAAGGGGACTATTATAGATGCAAAGAAAAAATAGCTTAAAATACAGAGATTCTTCTAGAAAGTTCTCCAGAATGATCCTAGAATCCTAGAATTTTAGCGCTAGAAGGACCCTCAGAGATCATTTCGTTCATCATGTTACAGTGTTACACAGATGAAAAAAACTCAAATCCATCCTCCCTGGCCCTTGAGACCTTCTGCCGCATTTTCCCCCACACCTTATTGCCTTCAGTCTTGTTTCGAAGATAATCAGTCCCGCATACATAACCTTGGGGAAAGCAGGTGTCTCAGAGGCCACATCCGCCACCTGTTCCCCATGCGACCCCCAGCAAGCCCGTGTACTTAGCAAAGCCTTGTTCTCCTAGCCCGCGGGACAGAGACAGTGTGCCTACCCCAGTAGAGGGGCTGTCGTGGTGGTCCTAGGACGGGGCACGTGCGAGGACTCCGGCCGCTAGAAACCCTCCTCCAGATGAGCCCCCGGCGGCTCCGGCTTCGCGCCGTGAGTGAGGAGGCGTGCCGGGGTGGTCGTTCGTAATGAGCACGTCCACCATGAACTGAACAATTGGTTAATAGCAGATTTTACTGAAAAAAAACACAATAATTTAAAAAAGCCGACAATTTTGCTAAAGATTTCTTCTATGGTGAAAGTAATCACTTTGGGGAAATAGTGATGCCGTTGCCGTTCGCTCAGGGGACCCGTCACCAGCGTCTTCCTTTTTCTCTTTCAGCGTTACCCAAGGAGTACCAGAAGATAGGGAAGGCCTTGCAGAGCTTAGCGACGGTGTTCAGCTCCAGCGGGTACCAGGGTGCGTGCGTATTTTCTTATCCTTCCAGCCTGTAGCGTCCGGTGCTGACCAGCCCCCCTTGGGCCCTTGTGCCCCCGCAGGGACGCTACAGCTCGGGACCCTTGTCACTGACCCTTGACTGGGCCGCGCTGCTCCCCCAGCGCTCCTGTGACCTCCCTCACTGCTTCTGGGAAAGTGGAGGTGGAGGCTGCTTATGTCCGTGTTTCTTGCTCATTCTTCGCCTTTCTCTGTGCTCGGAGGCGGCTCTGGTGTTTTGCCAGAACAGGCAGCGGTGACCGGTCATCCCCTGCCTGGCTTTCATCTTTCTGCCGACCTCAGAGGCCGGGTCTTCCTGCTACGAAGGCCGGAGCTCGTCAAGGCCATTGGGAGGGAACATTCTGACTAAGTAACAAATTCACGTTGCCTCGGGCCTCTCCGTGACCTAGAGTTAACTTTCGGCATGTCCCGTGCTGTCTGTCTGACCCGTGGTGTCTCGAATTCATTGTCCCTTTACATTGACAGCACTCATGAGAACAAGCACATTTTGGTGAACTTTTGCTTAGTTTGCTCTGTGGAGCGGGTAGCAAGTAAAAGTATTATTTGTCAGGTGAGTGGCACTGCTAAATTTGAGTGTGTCCGGTCGCTTACAGAAACGGTGGAATTGGTACCTTGGTCTCGGTATTTATTCTGATGCTCAGGGGAGATGGGTCTGTGGACGTCAGTGTCTGAGTATTTTCAGGAACAAGAAATGAGTCTCTCGCCAGCATGGAGGAGCCAGGGCTCCCACGTAAGTCCTGGCTGAATTGTGCCTCACCGTCCCAACTTTCGGATCGGATGGGGGCTCTGAGGCTTGGTCCATCGGACCCCTCATGTTTAAGATGAGGAATGTGGGCGTGGAATGACCAGTCCTCTGGCCACCATGCCGCCAGGGATGATGGAGGAGCAGGTGTCGGGCCCCACACATTACTTAGGTGCTGGCAGGACCCCCGGAGTGCTCTTGGCTTTGTGCTTCTCTGGCATCTCGACCGGAGTGAAGATGCAGGACCCCCATCATGTCCATGTCGGAGCCCACCTGAATCTCACTTCCTTAAGCCTCCCCCGGGAGCTCTCTGTCCTCCAGCCCCGCCCCCACTTCCCGCCATCACCCCTTAGTGTCCAAAACCCCTGTGGGCAGATTGGCTCTGCATTTGGGGCTCCCCCAGGTGCTGGTTCCTCACACCAGCCCCCACGCATCTGGTAAAAGCAGAGCAGAGCCTCCCGTCGCAACAGAGCCCTTCTGCCTGTGGAAGCCTCCTTTCTCCTCCCCCAGGGCTTCCAGACTCCGCAGCTTGCCTAGGGCGCAGACTCAGGCCTTTCTGAATTGAGCTCCTTTGGATTTCTTCATCCCCACAGGATGAAGGAGACTTGACGGAGAAGGCTGATGTTTTAGCTTATTTGGTATTATTACATAGAGAGCAAGAATCCTGCAGTTGTCCCCATCCTGACTAGAAATGGAACTGCTCCAAGATGAGCTGTGTAGCCATTGTTAGGTCCTTCCGGTAGTGTGGACCCAGACTTGAGGACTTCCGTTCCTTGGAGTCAGATAGAAAAACATGAAAGTCATTCAGAGCTACCCCGCGGTGATTCACTTGTTCTCGTGCTCGATGCCAGCAGAGACACTCACTCACCCTTCACTAAATGTGGCGTTGATAGAGGGTGCAGGTAATTGAACCAGAAGTCTTGGAAAGAGGGCAGGAGAAGGCAGTTGGTTACCTGGGAAATGGGTCCTGAAGATGTTCTTTGGTACCTTATACTATACATAAATCATCCCATGTATTTGTCATTCGGTGAATCTCGGTAGAATCCGCAGACCTTCAGAACAGTCCGCTTCTCTGGAGTTTTCTGTCCGTAGTTCAATGAAGAGCAACCTGCCAGAAAGGATAGATTGGGCTGCGAGGGGCAGTGGGGGGAGAGCGCTGAAGGATGGGGACATCCTGGGGTGGGGGGTGGAGTGAGGGGTGACCGTGAAGGCGCCGTGCCTCCACCGCCCCCAGCAGTGCGAGCCGCACAGAGGCGCCCTTACCGCTGGCCCTGCTTCGGGCTGTCAGTCGGTGCGCATCCAGCATTCACGCTGCACGGGGCCCTGGGCCAAGTGTTAACAGTGCTAACTCAGTGTAGTACGCTGGGCGGGGACTGTCCTTCAGCTTCCTAGAGATCCTGCTTTCAAAGAACTTCTCAAGTCCCCCCGGACTTGCTTTTCACATCTCAAGGCAAATGAAGGTCAGCAGAGTCAAGCGCTGTCTTATCACGGCCTCCTTCGCTCAGACGCACTGGTGACATGGGGCAGCGCTGCACTCTTGATCTTGCAATAATTCGGAGGCTTCCAGTTCCTGAGAAAGTCTCGGATTATGTTAAATTTCCACGCTCCCTCTGGGAATGCAGACACTGGAGCATGCGGAGACCGTGCGCATGGCCTTTGCACAGATCCATGAGGCACTTCCTATCCTCACGTGTTACCATGGAAAATACTTGATAAAAATATTTAAGTGGTTAACTGTAGCAGAGAAGAGGAACAAGTATAGAAGCAAGACCTCTGGTTTTAGCTTGTTTTATAGACTTGACTTTGGAACCATGAGCATGTTTTACATGTCTATTTATTCTACATTTATTACTAAGAAAAAATTTTAAATTAAAATGTAAAGAAAAATCCCTAAAAAGCAAAAGCAAAATAAATCACTTGATACATCAGGGTAAAGGCATAGCCATATAAGGAAGAATTATTTCACATCACCGGAGAACACTGAATTTTGATTATACATCCCTAATAGCAGATACCGTAAAGTCAAAAAGACTTCAAAAATCTTTTGTTTTCAGTAATCATATAGTTAGCAATAAAATGTTAGTACTGTTATTCAAAAGCCTTCTAAAACTATTTTATAGGGCGCCTGGGTGGCTCAGTGGGTTAAGCCTCTGCCTTTGGCTCAGGTCATGATCTCAGGGTCCTGGGATCGAGTCCCACATCAGGCTCTCTGCTTGGAAGGGAGCCTGCTTCCTCCTCTCTCTCTCTCTGCCTGCCTCTCTGCCTACTTGTGATCTCTCTCTCTCTCTCTCTCTCTCTCAAATAAATAAATAAAATCTTTAAAAAAAAAAAAACTTTTACATATTGTAGGGTAAAGCAAACATGTAATTAAATTTCCGTTGTTAGGAACTAAGTTTTTTAAATGAGAGAGCTAAACATAAAAATGAATTTTAAAATACATTATGAAAAATCCTCAAGTCCTAAATTTGAATTGGAAATATCTATATGAGCTCATTATGGTTTTCCTCTTTTTAAAAAAATATAGTTTGCCTTGCTCTGTTCATTGAAAAATCCCCGAAATATCCAAGCCAGTCCCAAGAAGCCCCTCTAGCGCCCCCGACAGGGGGAGTTCTCAGCACTGCGTCCCACCCAGAAGGACCCAAGCTCCTAGCAGAACCCAGATGCTGATTTGAAAAGCCTTCCACTGGCCAGTAAAGAGAAAATTAGAGCATTAGTGAAAATAATACTTTCTCTGCAGTGAAGCTTATCAAGTACTTTTAAATCCAAACTTGCAGTGATACTTTTTTAAAAAGTTAATTTGTTACCTCTGGGGAATGGTTAGAGGATCAGCTCATTATTCTGAAATGGTAAAGAGAAAGAAAACACTTAATGTGCTTTTTCTCTGCCAATACCCCAAGGTAACCAGATAGTCAATAAAGGAGAGTTTCTCTTTATAGAAGCGCTTCAGATCAAGAAGGAGTACTAGGAGTAGAACAGCAACACTTTGCAGACCTTTCCTAAGATGAAAGATCTGGATGGTACAGGGGACAGAGGACTGTGTTCCCACCACAGACACAGTCAGCAAAACCCAGGCTGTGGGCACCAAGGCAAGGACCTGGTTTCTTCAACGCCCCCAAAAGAAATTTGTGGGAAAAGAGGGAGGGAGGAGAAAGAACCTATAGATGGAAGAAACACTTCAGCTCTCTGCCACGTGGGCTTTCTCTGCGCCGGAAAGCGGCCGGCTTGATTCCAGATACCAGGAGCCTCCCACTGACTGGACATTTCTGTCAGGAGCCATTCTCACTTCCCCAGGATGGTGTTGGTATCGTCCTTGCTTTTTGAAGGTGCTTGTCTTTGACGTAGAGTTTATGGGTGCGTTGCTCTGTGGCCAGCAAAGGGGGACATGAGGGGTGGATGGTGCAGGTGCAGAGAGACTGGCCACGCACCGTTCGTTGGGAAGCCAGGGTATCGGTAGAGGGGGACTCATGACACTAGCCTCTAGTTTTGAAAAGTGTAGTGTTTGCTCTAATAAAATTTTTCAATAAAACCAACAAAGAGAAAATACTCATGAGCGCTGACGTTAGCTTTACTGATTTCCAGGCGAAACAGATCTCAACGCTGCGATAACAGAAGCAGGAAAGACTTACGAAGAAATCGCCGGTCTTGTGGCGGAGCAGGTATCCCCATGCACACGGGCTCCCCGAGCGGACTGTAGGCTGTCGGACCCACGTGTTCCGTTAGCCGATTGGTAGAACAAACTTGGCAGATAGATCTCCTCTTCTCTCTTTGTTCATTGTGTGTGGCCGTCGTGTTTCTCCGGGTAAGCCGCGGTGGTGGACGGTGGACGCACTGACCATGGAGAAATGGACACGAATGCCTTCCAGTGTCAGTGGCTCCGACCCACCCTCCACCACCTTGGAGGGGGTTGGGATGTTAGAGGAAGAGCTGCGGTCACCCCCGCCCCCCGGTCTGGACCCGGAGCCTGTCTGAGGCTTGTTTTACTCGGCTGGTAATGGCAGTCATAGACCCGCCGTGACAGGCTCTCCGCCTTTGGCAGCCACTAAGGAGAAGGGACCATGAGGGCCCCGGCAAGGGGCGGGTCTTTGTTCCAGCCACATGGCTTTTACTGGCGCCTTCAGTGGTCCAGTTCCCAGTTCTCTTTACCGATAACCGATAATAGATTCCCTTAAGGGGAATAGACATTGATGTTGTTTCAAGTCCCCGAATTAAAGTTCTCAGGTGACCTCCTGAAATACGTACTTCTGCACACACACACGTACACACACCTCCATGTTGGTCACGGACTGCCGCTGCTTGGAGGAAAAGATGAATTTTTAGAACTCTGCCTAACATAGCTATTAAAAATTATAATTCAGAAAAATAGAAAAATTTTAAGTTGCCACTTAAGATGACTACCAGATTTTTAATAATAATGTATATTCTCTGTTAAAATGTAGACGTTAAATGATTATATCTTATTTGCTTATATATAAATAGTATTAGTTTTTTGCCCATACAGTGTCATATTTTAAATCACCTCAAAATAACTAACTTGACCAACCAGCCTAAAAATGATCTGATATTTTATTTTCCCTCTAAACTACGATTGAGAATGTAATAGCCTTGAGGGTTGTTTTCTTGCAGGAAAACTATGCTGAATGCCTTAGCCCTTGATAGACAGTAACTCGTATCAAGGGCTTGGCCCATACTGTCCTCCAGTACGACCCTTTTCTTATCCTCAACGGTCTAGATTTTTCTGCCAGTAATAACCAACCTGTGTCTCGTTGTAGCCAAAGAAAGATCTCCATTTTCTCATGGAATGTAATCATGAATATAAAGGTTTCCTCGGCTGCTTCCCTGATATTATCGGCGCCCACAAGGTAATTTGATCACAGAAGTGTGGACAAGATGATATGGGGAGCCAGGACCACGGCCCACGGCTACTGCGTGGGCCCTGTCACTCAGCATGGCCCTGAGTGGGGGGCTGGGGGGAGGGAGCTTTCTGAAACCGACTGGGTCCCCTTGGGCTGTTGAAATAGATCCTGTAACACATTTACACTATGCATAGTTTCTGGTTTCTTCCATTCTGTAAAAAAGATTACTTTGAGGAAACAAAAGCGTGACAAAAAGATGCCTTTATGCCTATACTTAGGCCAGGTAGCAAACAAAATAATCACGCTGTTGCCAATTCAAGACAAGATTAGGAATACAGTTTGCCCTTACTAATGAGACCCCTGTAAGCTGCTGGGGTGGGTCCTCAAAGACCCTCAAAGACCCTTCCCCGTCGAGACACAGATATTCTGTCCCCCTGGGCCTGACAAAGGGTTTCCTGATGAAAATTTAAATGATCAACATCAATTTTATATTTTTGTACTAATAAGGAAACTATATAATTCCTACCATAAAGGTATTTTCAAACTGAATTTCGAAATGTTTTGGGTCTCCTCGCATTTCAACTCTGGCTTGTTTCAGACTCTACGTATTAGTTCAGAATAGGGGCATTTTGTCAACTGTCATACTCCGGGGGACTGTGATGTACTTGGATTTATTAGGATAATCTCTACAGAGGGCTGGTCTGCGACCCTGGCAGTCCTGGCATGTGGCTGTTTTAGCGTTCAGCTTAATGATCCGAGTGTTGGGAAGGGGTAGTGTGCAACTTCAGATACTTTAATATAAAACTGAGAACATTCTTTACCAAACCGTCCACCAATGGACACTCAGGCATTTCCACACCAAGACTGTTGTGTGTAAGGTTGCAGTGAGCCTGAGAGCACAGCGGTCTCTCGGAGGTAGTGATTCTGGGAGCATAGATCTGAAAAGTTGTCCCCACAAAGGAAACATCAGACCGACTCGTCCTTGTGGGAGGTGACGGACGTGAACAGCAGTCGCTGTGGTCGCTGTTCCGGGGTCCAGACGTCAGGTCATCACGGTTGCACTCACCTTGAACTCACGCAGTGCTGAATGTCAGTTACAGCTCAACAAAACTAGGGGGAAATAACATAAGTAAATATAACACAAGTAAAAACCTCAGTTAAAAAAGCCAACTCAGAAGAGTCAGGTTGTCATAGGGATTGAGGCCAGCAATGAAGAGTTTTGGGCAGGGTGGCTGGTTTATGCACGAGCATAAAGTTTTTCTTTCCAGACCATTCTCATGAGCACTGTGATGGTCCTGGAGTGGGAAACGTTCAGCAGCTCTCTCACTCCTTCCACCTGAGTATCAATTTGAAATCGAGGTAGTACTCCTCCCAGAAACCAAAGTAAAGGTGACAGCCCACACGTACCAGCACCCCCGGCCAGCATGCCCCGAACAGAGACAGAGAGCACAGGTGCAAGCACGGACTGTCCCTCATCATTCTTTGTTTTTTTTTTTTTAAAGATTTTATTTATTTATTTGACAGAGATCACAAATGGGCAGAGAGGCAGGCAGGCAGAGAGAGGAGGAAGCAGGCTCCCCACTGAGCAGAGAGCCCGATGCGGGGCTCGATCCCAGGACGCTGAGATCATGACCTGAGCCGAAGGCAGAGGCTTAACCCACTGATCCACCCAGGCGCCCCATGTCCCTCATCATTCTAAACCCCAATGCCTGTGTCCGTCTCCTGCGCGCCTCTGGTCCTGGCACGGGCTCGGATATTACAGAAACAGAGCGCCGTTTGCTTTTCATGCTGCTGTAGCAGAAAACTGTCTATTTTGGCTTAGCTCTGTTTTTCAAGAATAGCAACCCTTTTGCTTCCAAGTAACTTGCAGGAAGTTACATTCAGGCGCTCTCCTACGTTCTTACTTTGTGGGGAGGTTTCTGTTCAGTAGCCAGTCAGTTGTAGAAGACGTTGGCATCGTTGCATGTGAAATGAAAGCCTGGTCCTTTGAGCGTCATTCTGTTAACACTCTTATGTTCATATCTCACAGGGAGCGATAGAGAAAGTGAAAGAAAGTGATAAGCTGGTGGCCACCAGTAAAATCACCCCCCAGGACAAACAGAACATGGTGAAGCGAGTTGGCACCATGTCTTATGCATTGCAAGGTAAGGCCCGGGTTCGGGCATCGCTCACGGAGACGGTTTCAGTCCTTGTTGTTTCCCTGGCTGGAGAGAAGGCCCTCCGTGGACCACAGCTAAGCAGATAAGAGCTGATTTAGCATTTCCTCCCAAGCCCGTTGTTTGCAGGGTCCCAGTGTTAATGCAGACGGACCCGATTGAGACAGCTAGGAGTGCCAGCCTGATTAAGCCCAGGCTTCTTTATTGTGTCTCAGAGACCGTGAAGATCCTCTTATAACCCTTCATCTCAGCTCCTGTCGTGACGCTGTGTTAGATTCCAAAGTTCAGCTTTCAGCAGTTTGTAACCTCTATCCCCTAGGACCAGAGAATGTAAAGGGAGTTTGGACACGGCTTTTTCGGCAAAATTTGAGTGTTAGTAAAAAGATACTAAATAATTTTTATATATTTGAGTGCTTTCCGGCACACAGGAGCCATGAACGGGTTTTTCCTGTTTCGGTGGACAGACAGAGCAGGCATGGGCAAAGGAGAAAGGGGAAGGATGTTCTAGTTTGAACAAACCCACACAAAATAGCGGGACAAGATTTTCTCACTGGTCTTCAGGAGTAAAATGGGCTTACAGGCTGTTGGGGAATAAGTGTTGGTGATGGTGGCGGGCCTTGAGAGCTGGCAGAAGAGCCTGGTCTTACTGGGGGCATTAAGAGGCCACTGGAAGGCTTTATGGTGAGGGGCAGGGAGGTACACAGCTCAGGGAGAAGGTGGGAGAGGTTGGCGGGCAGTCGTCAGCCCACGCGGGACACCGCTGCCTCTGTGGCCTGAGAGTTGCAGGCACGAAGAAGACATGGTGCTCTGGGAGAGAAGGGAGCGCGTCTGCAGACTTGCCCAAGGAACAGCCCTCGGGACTAGGGAGTGCATGGGACAGAGGCAAGAGTGTCTGCAAGGGTTCCAGAGCTGAGGCGGCTAGGGGCAGGAATAGAAAAATCTGAGAGAAGATCTGGCTTCCGAAGGGATTGAAATGGGGGATTTGGCTTTGAACTTGTGTGTGAAGTTTTCCACACAGATAAATGAGAAGCTTTGTACGACCTCAGATAATACAAGACTCAAAACAGCGCCCTTATGGTGGGCGTGTATGCCAGGAGCTGGCTTTCTAGGTGCACAGAATGAGGGAAGAGGCAGGTGGAGGTGTGACAAGGCCTCTGCCGAGGTGGTGATGGGCGCGGGGCTGGTACCAAGAGACAGATGCGGTAAGGGAGCCATCTGTGAGGACATAAATTCAGCAGAGCTGGAGAACAGAGGTCCAGAGGTCCAGAGAACAGAGCCTCTCACCTGGCAAGAGGTTGGGTTCTGGGAGCCCTGATGCTCTGAGCAGCCAAGTCCATCCAGAAGAGGGTCCCCCCGCGTCTCCCCCATCCCTACAGCCTTTCAAGGGCACCCCAAGAAACCTGTCCAGGCAGCTGCAAGAGGGGACGGGGTGGGACCCGCTGGGTGCCTCACTGGGTCCTGTGTCACCGACAGTCTGCAGAGAGGGAGCCCCACGCCGGCCTCCTGCTCCGTCCCTTCTGGGAGAGCAAAATCCACACGTGGGTGGTTGTCTATGTTGGGTTTCCCAGTGTCTCATCTGCACGTCAACAGAATCACCCCTCTGCGGGGATGTATGGTTGCCCTCAGCTATGCAGATGACTTTTCTAGCCTCTTTGTAAAGTGATCTGTCAGGGACTGGCCCTGCCCTGAGGCCAGCCGGGGCAACGGAGCAGAGCAAGCCCCGTGGCCTGTGGAAGGCCGGGGGGACTGACTGATACCTTGGTTTTGGTTGTAGCTGAGATGAATCACTTCCACAGCAACCGCATCTACGACTACAACAGTGTCATCCGCCTGTACCTGGAGCAGCAGGTGCAGTTCTACGAAACAGTAAGTCGGCCGCCCTCCCCGGGCCCTTTGCACGCCCACGCGCGCACACACGCATGCATGCACACAGAGGACTCGTGCTCTCATAACTTTGACCATATATAAAGTTAGTCTGCCTGTATTTTTTAATCCTAAGTAATAAACCAAAGGAACTTGTGTGTGAATTATATCTGCCTATTCCCATTGAATTATATCTGCCTTTTCCTTTTTGAATCCCACTGGGTTAAAAAAGTTTTCTCTTAAGGAAGAAGGGGTGGTGGATGCTGGTTGTGAGGCCCCTAGAAGTCCTGCGGGGAGGTTCCCCACCCCCAGCCTCTCTGTGCCCCGGGGACAGTGCAGGACAGGAGGGCCCCCGGCTCTGCAGGCCCTCAGTGGGGATGGAGCCTGGCACCACGGGCAGGCTTCATGAAGGAGCTTTCGTTGTGCACCAGAGGAACCTCAGAAAACGAGACAGAGAGAAACCTCAAATATTTTCAGTTAGGGAACGGTCACTAAAATGTAAGCTTTTGTGCTCTGCATAGTAATTGGGTTGTTTACTGGCATGTGCAGAGAACAAGGACGTAGCGTGTAAGCGGAAACTCCGGCACGTGAAGGCAAGTTCCCAACCGTGTCGTTGACCCCGTGCGGGTCGCCTTGCTTCTTCCTCAGTGTCCCACTCGCGCCATGCTCTGCTCCGCGTGTGTTGAGGGCGATGGCGGGCCAGCCCCACACTCACGTCCGTGCACTTGTCGTCTTTGGGCGAGGCAGTGCGGGGAGTGTCGGACTCCGGCAGCAGATCCTTGAACGGCAGCTGTGACCAGGGTCCTTGCCGCAGAGTGTGAATCGTGTGTGGGAAGCAGCTGGTTTGGGAGCTGAGCTTCCAGAAGGAATTCCCTTAAGCACGTTTGTCCCTTCCAGCATGCAGTTCCTGGGCTCTCTGTGTTAACTAGCTCTGCCGTACGGTTGCCTTCGCGTACTGGAATCCAGGTTGCTGTTGTTCTGCATTAAAAGAGCCTTGAAGGGCAACTCTTAAAACTCCGATCAAGTTGATTTGTTAGATAATCTTAAGCCCAAGTGAGGTTTAATTATCAATGACATTGTGACTCAATGACATTTAACCAATGTCCTTGTCGGATGTAACAGTTTTAGGAGAAAGCAATGCTTGAAGGCTAAAGTTCACATGCTTTTCAGTGGAGCAAACCTGTATTGAGCGCGTAGTATATACTAAGCACTTACGCCAGATGCTTGGGCTCCAAGAACGGCCATGACATCCGTGTCCTCGGGGAGCGTGTGTTCTCCCTGGGGGAGGCCTGGGCACGTAGCCACGGCTGCGGTCCCGCACCGGCTCTGTCATGGAGGCGCCGACGGTCTGGGAGGCATGCCCGGCAGTGGGGGCCCGGGAGTCCACGGGTGTCCGACAAGACGGGCAATCCGTGCGAGTAGGACACCCACCCCTGCCGGACCCCTGGTCTGGAGATGCTGCTCCTGAGAGAGACGGGGGCTGTGCCAGAAAGAAGGGGGGCCTCCTGCAAGCTGGGGTTGGGGAGGGCTCCGTGGATGGTTGATGCTGGAGGAGACTTGAAGCTTAGCCCAGTTGAAGCCTCTGAAATGTTTGCAGTGTCTAACTTGTAGGAGGTGGCGGGAGTAGAATGCCGTTAGGTCCTGGTGGGACTGCGCATCTCAAGGTTGTCTCATTTCTTCACCAGATCGCAGAAAAGCTGAGGCAGGCCCTCGGCCGCTTCCCGGTTATGTAGAACACAACAGAACACCAAGAGATCTCCGAAGTGCTTCTTTCTGACTTTGGGCAATGCAATTTTATTTCTTCCCCCTTCATCAAAAACAAAGAGGAACAAAAGACCAAAAGCCAAAAAGAAAGAGTTGCAAAAAACTGGGTCTATTTTATTAACCAACCTAAATGCCTCGGTTCATGGGGTTAGTCTTCTTCAGTTCGTTTCCACATCCATTACTGAAAACAATGGAAATTGTCTCTATTTTTGGAAAGTACTTAAAGTTATCAGAATTTTGAATGGAAAATTAGGGGTTCCCCCACTGATATTTTACATAAAATTGTAATTTGTACGTCGTCCATGATCTTCTGGGTCTTACCCAATGTCAGATAATTACTAATTGCTTTCTTTAAAATATGAAATATACCAGAATAAAAATCATATATGTTTGTATATTTTTATAACTCTTTTCAGTCCCGTGGGATTCCTATCTACTTAGGAAGCTCTACATGCCTTTCACTGACATATTTATGACTCCAGTGCTTCTGTTTCCAGGAGCGAGGAAGCCAGGAGGGGCCCTGGGGGCTGCTGGCGCCCTCCCAGGAGGCTCGGGGCAGGGGAGGGGGGGGCTCACATGCCCTGTCAGAGCGTGCAGTGTGGCAAAAGCCCAGGATCCCGTTCACTGCCCCCACTTCCCTCAGGAACGCTGCTGACTGTCCCCGTCCACGGGGGCGGGGGGGCTTCCTCCCCAGGCCCGGTGAAGGCATGATTCTTGCCAGAAGGAATACGTTGACAGGGGTGAGCACGTGTCTACAGGGCTTTGACTCTGCTCCCAGGGCTGGAGCTGCTGCGCTGGGGCCTCTGCTCTGGGGAACAGACGTGCTCCCCACAGAGCTTCGCCCCACATTGGTGTCTTCATCTGTTGAGTCAGAAGTACCGAGACCTGTTTCCAAGGCCGTGATTTGCCACTTACTTTGGAGGTTAGACAAGTGAGCGGGGGTGTTACCTGAAAACGTGGAAACCACAGCGTGGTAGGCCTCTCCGTCCCCCAGATGGAAGCGCTTAGGGACTGATAAGGGTCACAGGCTGAGTCCTGCACATCGGTCCCTGGAGCTTTTTGTCTCTGTAAGGACAGCATGATGGTGAGTGATGCTCTTCCTGACTGCATCTGGAACTTGTGACGGGATTTTTCTGATCCCCGGCCTCCAGACAGAGGCACGCAGTGAAAGCTAATCGTGGCCGACTGTCAGCTTTAAACCCGAGCACTCAAGACACGCACCATCCCCCAGCCGCAGCCCAGTGAGCCCATCCTCCACACTTGCCTTACGACCTCTCCCCACTGCTTTCATTCTCCTGACCTAGTGATGACAGTATAGATGATGGAAGGTTTGGGCCAGCACAAATAAAATGAAACCAAAAAATAAGTAGCAGAGGAAATCGAATGAACATGAGTATGAGAATTTCTTGCTCTTTAATATCACGGGTTTTGTTAATGTTTTATAAGTAATTTTCCCTACCTGATTTTTCTTTTATAAAATCTCATAGAACAATGTTTATGATACAGCCATTTAATATATGTACAAATTGTAAAGAGTATGTATAAATGTTTTACACAAATGTAAGAGCATGTAGAAGCCAACGTATAAGTAAATTGTTTAAAAAAAAAGACTGTACAGTAAATTCTGAAAGCACTTTTTCAAAAACATTTTTTGGTATTTGTGTGATTTATTTTCTTCGGTCCTTTTTTTTTTTTTTTTTTTTTTTTGGATAATTGCTTCTTGCTTCTAGCTCCTAAAAATAGTCCAGATAATGAATTTTTCCCCAAAACCTAATTCTCCTGATATGAATTAATATTTTAATTCCTTAAGTCAGAGCCACCAGTCTTAGAAGCACGTCTTAATCACCAGAGCGCTGTAAGCACAGATCCTGATGCCGACCGAGCATATTAGCCATCCGTAGAGAAGCAGCCGACGGGGGTGTGCGTGCGTGTGCATGTGTGTGTGTGAGAAGTGATGTTTGCTTGTCTCCATGTGCTGTAACCTAATCCTGTGGTGTAAAAATCTCACGTCACAAGATAAGAGAATAAGAGGGGAAAGAAATCAAATACTTGCTCTACACACACGCACACGGTATTCAAACAAAATAAGAAAATTTGACAGTTAAAATCCTTTCATGGGCACTCAGCGGTGGCCGCGGCCGGGTCCACCTTGGTGAGCGAAGTGGACGTTGCCGAGCCCACGCATAACCTCGGTCCCTGCCACCGTGGCACTTTGTTCAGGAGCCCACTGGGACGTGACCGGGGCAGCTGGGGAACGAGGTTTACTGGTGTCCACACACTGGGCCATCCTAGCCATTTGAAGATTAAAATTCTCCTCTGCTGAGGCCATCTTTCACGGGCATTTTTGGGACTCAGAGATCTTCACTTTTTTGAGGACAGGTCTGTCCACGTTCCTCTTCCCCAAATGTCTTTCTCACCAGTTCTCCAGTCCTATTCCCGACCATGGCCACAGCCCAAGAATGGACAGGGAATCAGTCGCCCATGAGGCCATCTGTCCTTCCGAGCTGCGTGAGCAGCTGCATGTACTGCTCGAAGTTCTGGCCACGGGGAGGCTGTCCCTTTTCTGTGTCCTTCAGGGGTGTCCTGGGAAGATGGTGCCGTAGCTGTCTGCTTTCAGGTGGCGTCTACATCCCATGCAGAACCATCTGTAAACCAGGCCCGAGTCTTGTCTTCGTCGGTCGGCGGACCTTCGACAACTCCCCAGGCAGCCACAGATCAGGCTGGGGGAGGGAAGATGGTGTAGTCGGAGCGGGGACCGTGGGCATGTGGGCCACTTGTCCCCGTAGGGCCTGTTCACATATATTCCACTTCCCTTTGCTGATGGGGTGCTGCCCTGTGTGCCCAACTTCATGGTCCAATGGGACAGATAGCACCCAGTTCATGATGGCAGCTGCAGTCAGGATGGGTAGCTTGGGGGCCCATGGGTAGGTGTTTAGTCTTCTGAGGCCCAGTAGCAAACCCAGAGCTGTTTCTCACAAGGAGAGTCATTATCTAGGGGGACGGGGGTGTGTGTGTGGGGGGGGGCGGTGATAGCAAGGCTTGGCTCCAAAATCCTAAGGGCTTGCCTTATTACTCACCTCTGGAGCCCTGCCAAAGTCTCCAGACGGCATCCCTGACTGCTCTGATATTCCAGGTGCCACTGGCCATGCTGGATCCTACGGCCCCAGCCTGGGAGCAGAGCAGCCTGTGTTGGCGGCCTGGACATGCTGGGAAGCCGTCTCTTGTTCTGGGCCCCACACCAAGTATCTGTACACCCTGTACAGATGGCCCTATTGGTGGCTCTATTGGTCTGAGGAAGAGGCCAGGAAAATGAAAAAGGAACCTAAGGAAAAAGGATGGCAGGAGATACTCAGAAAAATTGTAGCTGGCTGTGAGCCAAGGAAAGTAACAGGAATTTGGAAGTGAAAAAATTACCCATTGCAACGTTGATGCTTGGAAGATGCTCCTTCAAGTGGCAAAATTTTAATGACCTAGGGTGGATTTTGTGGTTCCCATAGGATATGTTGATTTTTTATTTTTATTTGTACCAACCTTTATCACAGAAGAGCTATAATTACAGAATAATTTATAATCTTTACAAATCTCAACCCTGTAAAAATCAGTATTTAGAGAGGAGAGGTGAAGGCACAGTGGAAGAATGGGGTCAGTCTCCTTGCCAGGGCCGTCCACACATGCCTCTCCTGCAGCAGGCGAGGGGCCCAGACAGAGCAAGGGGACGATGAGCCAGTTTGTCTAAAGGCCATGGAACCTCTGGGGAGAAGACTGTTCCGCTTGGCGGTCAACAGTACGTTCAAAGGTCCGGAGGTGGAAGTTCAGGCCGCATCTTAGACCAAAACAAGAAGTTGAAGGAAGCAATCGGTCTTTGGGATTGGCAGAGCTCTGGGCGGGGTGGGGGGAGGGCTAGAGAGACCAGTAAGGGGTGTCGTTTGGGCCAGGCCAGACCAGCGGCTTGAAGATGCGAAGGTAGTGTTCTGGGGAGTTCCACCGCAGAGGGAGCGCCTGGAGCAGAGTCGGGGAAGCCCGTGCAGTGGGGTTGGTGGTGAGTCATTCATTCTGGAGAAAAGCCACTGACTTCCTGAAAGTAATGTTAAGTTTACCAGCACGCCGGAGTCATGTGCTCCTCCCTGGGGATAAAGTGACGTCACAGCATGTGGCGGGGAGCGGGGACACAGCCCCCTCGGCTGTCCTGCAGGGCTTCTCAGCCTGAGGTCACGGTGCCTCCAGAACGCATTTCCTGAGGCTGGTCCTCTGGTCTGGTGGGAGAAGTCCAAGAGGCCTTAAACGTCCTCCAATGTAGAGAACAGCCCTCGCCATAAAAAATTACCCACCCAGGATGTCCAGAGTACCCAAACTGGGAAGCCCTACTTTAAAGCAAACAGAAAAGGGGCACCTGGGGGGCTCAGCTGGTTAAGTGTCTGAGTCTTGGTTTCAGTTCAGGTCATGATCTCATGGGTGGTGGGTTCAAGCCCCAAGTTGGGCTCTATGCTCAGCAGGGAGTCTGCTTGAAGGCTCTCTCCCCCAGCCCCTCTCCCCAACTCAGATGCATCCTCTCTCTCTCCCAAATAAATAAATCTTTTTAAAAATATACAAAGCAAACAGACAATTACTCTTTGCCTGGGGGCTAATAGAGGGTGCCGGGTCCATACAGAAGGTGCTCAGTAAATGAGCACCACAGTAAATCCTCGTGGACGAGGATAAGTGTAATGCTCAATAAATGCACGCGGTCGTCGGTAAAATATAAAAGAGCCCAGGGTGATGGGGAGTAGAGGCAGCAGGAGATGCGGTGAGGCTAAAACCGCAGCCCTGCGACCAGGTAGCAGAGCCGAGTTCTGGACAGACTCCCTCTACACCGCACAGACATCAGCGCACGCTGTTGGGTTCAGCCCCGGCACCGAGGAGCCCCCTGAAGTGTGAAGACGGCCTTCCCCTGGAGGAACCCTCTGTAGCATAAAGACACCTGAATTGTGAGGTGGAGCATCAAGTCTGACAGCAGCGTCCGTCACCGTGAACAAGTCTCACAGGTTCTCTGCCCTCAGTCCCCTTCTCTGCGGAGTGCCAGGACGAGCGTGGGCTTGTCCCCGAGCCCCTCCCTGCCCTGGGAATCTCCGTGAGTCACTTAGAGAGGAGGAGGCTGGGGGCCTGAGGACCATGGCCTCCTGGCTTCAGCTGGGGACAGCACCTCTTTGGGACAGCCACCCCAAGGGACCCCTCTGGAACACAGTCCCAGTGGGCTTCAGGGCAGGGTGGGGTGTGTCCCAGAACCTTCTCTCATCACCTGTCACCCCTGCCAGTTCAAAAGCAGGACCCGGCCGCCAGTTGCATCAGCCGCTCCAGACACATGTCACCAAGCAGGAGACAAAGGGGGGCCTCTGAGCAGGTGCCATCCAGGCTGAGT